CTAGCCAGCAGCCCAAGCTCTCTGACTTGGATCCAGCTCTTTTCTCAATTAGCAGGTCTCTCTCGTGCACACTCCTGGCAACCAAGAGCCTTACGCAAGAAAGGTGCCACCTCTCCCAGACTGCACAACCTCTCACACTGCAGACTTCCAGGCCCGCAGCCTTTGACCCCCCTGCTTCTCAGCCTATACCCTCCCCCTGCAATCTAGAACTCACTCTTTAACAAAGCCCTCTTACTTATCAGACATACCAACAACTCTTAGCCAATTTCCTTCTATTAATATATTAACTGTAGATCAAAATCCTTCTGATCCCAGGTGTACTTTCCCCATATGAGCTGAACAGGAAGGAATTTGGTGGAAAGAAAATAACAACCAGCCCTCCTCCCTCTCCATTCCCACTTCCAGTCGAGACACACCTCATTTACACATCTCTCTCTCCTCTCTAGTAGTCTGGGTCAGACAATCATCACTGACATCCCACCACTGCACACACACACACACACCACGCCGGGCATACTCATCCTCCTTCCTTCCCTCCCACCAAATGTCCCCCCACATACACGCTCCACAGCACATACTCCGTGGCAGCAGCCCTGGGTGTGCCCCTCAACTGTCCCTGGGATTGGGTTTGTCCACTGGTGACACACTCTGAAGGCATGGAGCCCAGCCTTGTCCAGCTTTCTTTAGGTCTCAAGGACAAAGTATGCCTCCAGCCACTCTGCATCTCCTGGCACCTGCCTCACCCAGACCTACTGCCTGACTCAGTTGAAAAGAGTGGGTGCTGGCCCTCCAGTGTGTGGTGAGGCCAGGAAAATGGGAGCCTTCTTATAAAAGCATTCAACTCTGAGTGAGCACCTGCTATGTGTCAGGACACATATGTGTTAGTTTCAGGGATTCAGAGATGATTGAAAGTAATCGCTCACCTTGAGAAGCTCACAGTGGAAAAAAGATAAGTAAACAGAACAGATAAAGGCTGGGACAGGGTAGGAAGGAATGCTGTGGATCCACGTGGAGACAGCCTCCGCAGCAGGCAGCACCTCGGGGGTGGATTTTGAAGAATCAAGAGTTAACCGGGCACACAAACACGTCTTACCGGTCTGCAGAAAACAAGGAATTCATAGAAAACATACTTTGGCAGTGGAAGCAGGATACATCACTCCATGCCCACAGCAGTGTTTTCAGTGTGCAAAACACCACGTGATCTACAGAGATTAAATAAGCCTGGTCTCTGCTCCCAGGCGCAAAATATATTACCTCAATATGAGGCAAACTACTCAGAATACAATGCGCACTGAGAGGAAGGGAGAAGGAAAGGTGAATTTAACTCAGGTCCTAAGTACAAAGAGCACTGGGGATGAGGGTGGGGAGCACTCTCATTAAGGCTCTACATGGGGTGGGTAGGGTGAGTAAAACCCAGGAAAATCAAGGTGGGGCAGTCTAGGAGGTCAGCCTGCAGCAGAAGAGGGGAGGAGGAAGTCTGGGCAGGAACTGAGGGATTCGGGCAGAAGAGAGGGTGGGGCCAGTGGGCTCCGCCTCCTCCCCCCCCCCCCCCCCCCCCCCCCCCCCCAGTCTCCTGCTCCCCCCCCCAACCTACTTGTGACCAGTCCGGCAGAGACAGGTGAGGGAGGAACTCCTCAGGCTGGTGAGAGGGGCCAGAGGGTCATGGGATTGGGGCCAGGGTGGAAGGAGGGGGTCTGGCCCCTTTTTGGAGTCCGCCACTTCTTGCTATGCAGAGTACAGAGAACTCCTGACAGGCTGGTTTTGGGGTGTGGGCTGCCTAGGCATTGCTGCTGGTTGCAGAGGAAAAACAAGGCTTCTCCCCACCAGCCTCCCAGACCCTGTGGTAACTCCAGGCAGGAAACTTGAAATCTGAGTTTACCGAGTTAGAGCCGCTAGAAGGTGGGGGACCCTGGCAGATATGGGGTGTAGAGAGGTCAGGAATTACCTGGGCCATTGTCTGTAAGATTCTCTCCCACGTAGTTGTGTTCCTGTGGCTTTGTTGTATCTCTGTGCACTTTCTGCCACCAACTGAAGCATGGGCTGACTGGAGGAAATGGGAAGACGGGGTCAGACTGGGTAAGTGGTGCTCCCTCCCCCTTCTCTCCCTAACAGGGTCAGACTGAGGGCCTGTGACTGGGGAGGTGGGGGGTGGAGGTCCAGTGCGAGCAATGGAGCAGGGGAAAAAAGGCAGGACCTGCCCAGCACCTGGATTCCAGAGATGCCAGTGAGCACCGAGGCCCCAGGCAGGGCCCGCCCAGGACTGGGTCCTAGATGGTGTAGAAAGATAGAGCTAGAAGGAAGACCGCAGGGGAGAAGGAAAAAGAAGGGTGGCAGGGCCACGACGCAGTAAATTCACATGAGGGCTGGGAGTCAGAATTCCTGGGCTAGTTTCCTGGCTGTCGCACACACACTGATACCCTGGGACAACAGTGTGATCCTAGAGAGAATGACAGAGCTGGCGGGGACCCTGCAGGTTATTTATTTTGGCCATTTATTTGATTTGAGATTGAAGAACCTGAAACCCAAACAAAGCTGTCTAATATGGTTACTTGGGAATCTGACCCAGCCACGATGCCAAGAGCTAGTTTAGACACAACAGCTGTGTGTCTTTTTGCAGGAGTCTGGGGAGGGGCCATGGTGCCAAGCCAGTTCTCGGGGAGACTGAAGAAGCTGCTTGTCTTCCTGTGCTGCGCCTCCCTCCTCCTGGGGCTGGCTTTGCTGGGCATGCAGCCGGACACCGCCCCTATTGCTTATTTCTTTCTGACCTTGGGTGGCTTCTTCTTGTTTGCCTGCCTCCTGGTCTGTTTTGTGGACTGTGGGTTACCATCAATGCAGACCCAGAGCCCGGGGGCCTCAGGCAATGCACGGTGAGTTAAGGGGCGGGCAGGATTGGAGGCATATACCGTGGACCCATTCTCCCTGTGTCCCTCTAGTCTCTCAGGCATACAGTCTCTGCTTTCTTCTGTCACTGGTATCAGTGAGAGGTGGGATCAGGGGCTAGTAGAGGGGTCTTCTGTTGGTAGAAGATAGGAAAAGGGGAAAGGGCTCTGTTCAGGAAGCTACCAATGACCTTATTTCTCCTCCCTCAGGGACAATGAAGCCTTTGAGGTGCCGACCTATTTAGAGGCCGTGGTGTTAGAATCACAGCGCTGCCCCCAAGAGTTGGATCAACCACCCCCCTACAACAGTGTTGTAATCGCCCCAGCACTGGAGGAGGGACAGCCTAGCCATCCAGAGGGGCCTATGAGAGCCAGACTGGAAAGGCGAGTGGGCTCAGAGGGGTCTATAATCACAGGAAGCCCTGGAAGAGTCAGCCTTCGGCTTCGGGGACCACGATTTGCATCCACTGTTCCTGATCTGCAGAGCTTGGTGACCCTACAGAGGATCCCCACATTGGAGCCTCTTACTCCACCCCCTGCCTATGATGTCAGCTTTGATCACCCTGATGATGATAATGTTTTCTATGAAAACAACTGGACACCCCCCTAAAAGACTTTCCCAGGATATACCAACTCTGCACCAGACCCACTGATTCATTTGACCAATATTTCCCAGTGCCTGCAATGTGTCAGGGACTGTATTTCTGCCTGGACATCACAAATGGTGACTTTAACCCTGAAGGGAGTCAGGCTATCGTAATCCCTTCCCAGTTGAGATGTAGGTGGCACAATTTGAGTCTTCAGGCAACATTCGGTCACCTATCCCTTGTTCACTATTTCCAGAGTTAGACTGAGGGTGTGGTGAAGAGCTGATCCAGAGAACCTAGAGAAGGAAGAAGAAAAACAACGTCTGAGGGAAAGCGATGTCACTTCCGTCCTGGGTGCTTTGCCTCTATTTGATCACTTAGGCTTCCCAGCCTTATGATGTATTATTAGCCTCAGTGGAAAAATGAGGATTCCAGGGGTCAAAGAAGTTTGATAATTTGCACAGGCACATAATGTTGGTAAATAGCATATAAGTGACTTGAACTCTCCTCTTCTGATCCCAAAGCCCATTGTGTTTTCAATACAACGTAACAGAAGCTGGGCCATCCGCGCATCTCTCAGTCTGTCTTGGACAACTGCTGGTGAGGGGTTACCCCGTTCATGTAGACAGAATAGGGGACCAGTTGTGTCCACAGAGAGGGTGGGCTGAGTGTGACCAGGAACATACCTAACCTCGTAGAGGTGCAAAGCTAATCCGAGTTGTGAGGACCCCTGCTCCATGTGGGGAGGAGTCCCCAGGGCAGCATCTCATCCTACTGGGAAGCAGAGGTGTAAACTGCCCCGGGGGATTTTGAGAATGGGTGGATAGGAGGGTCAAAAAGATAAGACGTGAGCTTCTTGGTGAGGGGTGGTGGAGTATCTAAAGATCCCTCTTGAATCACCTATTACGAAGCACTGGAGCCACTTGCACTGTGCCTCGAATGGCTTCAGCCTCACCCCTGCGCTCGGATGGCTGGGGTTTTTACCTGGACCCCTGCCCTACTTCCTCAGATCCCAACAGAACACCAGATTTTCTGGAATCACGTGCTGCAGCTGTGATGTAGGTTTTAGCCACTGGGAGCTGCTCAACCATCGCTGACCCACCCTCCTTGGGATGCACTCCCCACTCTGGCCTTCATCATCGCGAGGGGATCTGTCTAGCGCCTTCTAGTGCTCTCCACGGCCTTCTTACCCTGGCCCCAACAGTTCAACTTCAATAAAGTGAAAAGGACGGCCACACCCGTCTGCATGAAGTTCTTTCAACTGGGGGGGGGGGGGGGGGGGGAGGGGAGGGGAAGGGGGAGGCGCCTGGGAGGGCACCGTGATTTCCGCGGGAACCGGTGACCAGTCGGATTCCCACGCAGGTTTTGGGCGGCTCCTCGCTCTCCCCCCACCCCTTCCCCTTCCGCCGAGCGCGCTCTCTCACTCCATTGGACGGCGCTTCCACCGCGCGGGCTCTGCGCCTGCGCGCGCCCAGGCGGAAGCGTTGGCGGCGCGGCCGGCCTCGTACAGGGGCGGAGCTAGGCGAGAGGCGCGCAGGCGCGTTGTGCGCCGGCGGCCGGGGCGGGGGCTGCGGAGGATGCGACGGCTTTTGGTTTGTTTGGATTGTGGGCGGTGCGTGCACAGCCCGGGAAAAGCGGGAAATGGCGGCGCCGAGCGCGCCCTCCCTGCCCGCGCTCCAGCAAAAGGGGCTAATGGCCGCGGACAGGGGGCGCAGGTGAGTGGGGGAGGGTCCCAGGGGTCCTTCATGGGGGCCCAGGGCAGGGGAACGCGGGTGTCAGGCGTAAGGCCTTGGCGCCCCCTCCCCTCGGAGCCCCTGGAAGCAGCTTTCTACCAAGGGTGGGAGGCCGGGCTGAGCCCCTGAGGGGCGCGCGGGCGGCAGGCCTCTTCTCAGCCTTGTCCCTTGTCAGCAGAGACTGCCCAGCCTCCCTTCGTCCAACCCTGGGGGAGGCACACAAGGGGAGCTCTTTCCAGTCCTCCCAACTCTCGGCTTCTCTTAAAGATTCTCCATCTTTTATTTCCCGTGGTTGCTTTATGAGAAACTATACTCTGCCGCCTGAAAATCAGGTGAGACCTGCAGACCTCAGAATTCTGCCTGATGTGCATTTGATTGGATTGAACGTATTATGACCCGTATTGTTTTGGATATAGTGAGCAGATTTTCAAAGCAGTCAGCACAGGCTTTGGGGTTTGAGTACTTTGAAAGGACAGGGAGGTTCCCGAGGCTGCGAATGTGTCTCTGCTCTGCCCCAGTTATATCATTTCATGGCAGACACCACCCAGGATAACATGTTTTAATGCCTCCTGGTCCGGACCCAGAAGATTAATTTAGGACTTCAGAGCTGGAACTTGCAGGACAGAGAATCAAGAGCTCCCTTTGTGTCCTTTTCTCCACCCCGTCCTCCTGATTATTTTAGGCTGGTTACTTTTGAAAACTGCAGAGGGGAAGGAGGCTCTGAGGAGTAGAATTTGCTTACCCTTTGTTAAGAGACATTTACATTGTAAAGGAAATCTCCATCCGTACAGGTGTCTCCCTCTCTGTACCAGGAAGAAGAGGGGATGACTTTATCTCTAGAAAATCTTAAATCAATGCCAAAAGCAAGGACTTAAGTCTTGTTTATTGTGCTTGTCAGGTAACCTCATGTAACTGACCCCCCCTCCCCACCACCAACATCCTCCTTTGTCTTTAGCTGAAGATAATATTTAAGATGGTGGCTTCTGCCATTTACTTAACCCGGTTTGATTCTTATCTAAAAGTTATAAAACCACCCAATAACCAGACCCCACCTGCACTAATACCATTTTAACGACTTTTTTACATATTCTTTCCTTTGTCTTGTAAAGAAATAACTCACATACATATGCCTTAAATTTAGCCCTATTCTCAACCCATGTTGGCAGAGGCAGCAGCAGCTCTTCCTGCCCGTGGGTCCTGTCCCCACACAGCAGCTCTGACTGCCCATGGGTCCTGTCCCCATTCAGCAGCAGCTGTTTACTGCCCATGGGTCCTGTCCCCATGCTGTTCCACACTATTCTCTAAATAAAAGAGCACTACTGCCAGACCTTGAGAGTCCAAGACGTCTTTCTTTCGACTCTTCGGGTTGCTGACCCCACATCACTCCCATTGCAGACGTGTCCTAAATTTCTAGGTGATTGCAGTTACCTTTGGAACGTCCCCATTTGAGACTCTACATAATATGGAATACAGGAAGGAGCAGGTGTGTGAAGAATGGGTAATGCTTCAGATTAAGCCTAATGAGCTATTGATTGAAAATTTAAGTCTAGAACTTGAAAGAGGTAAGAACTGGGAGTCAATTAGTGAATTGTGAGTGTAGATGAGACTGAATAGGGAGAGGCTCTTTGAGAGGAGGGTGCTAATGGAATATCAGCATTTAAGGGCAAGCCAAAGTTCCTCTGAAGGAAACAGGAACATTAGGCAGAGAAAGGACCTGGAGAGAATGGTGTCATGGAAGCCAAGGGAGGAGAAAGTTAAGGGGAAACTGCTCTGGTAAACTAAGGGAAGAAACCTGAGTGAGCCTTCTCCACTATCGTTATCAATCCTAAGGAAATACTCAGCATCCGGCTGTGATGTTATCTTGTCATTGGCCTCCTAACACTTATTTTTACTAGAGTACATATATGTCATCGTTGTGACTGCTTTGGTGTCTTCTAAGGTGATTCTTAAATGGGGTTTTTCCTTTCTCTAGACGGTGTTGTAGCACGTTTTTACTGAAGGTTTAGGGTAACAGGACTATTAGAACAGAAACAAGAAGTTGAAATGGAGTTTCAAAGGGCTGGCCTGGTGGTGTAGTGGTTAAGTCTGCTGGTGCCACTTTGGCCGCTGGGGGTTCACAGGTTCAGATCCCAGGTGCAGACCTACACATCACTCATCAAGCCATGCTGTGGTGGCATCCCACATGTAAAATAGAGGAAGATTGACACAGATGTTAGCTCAGGGACAATCTTCCTCACCAAAAAAAAAAAAAAAGTTTCAAACATCACTTTCCCAAACCCAAAATTTAATCAAAGTTGGCTGCTTCCAAACCTGGGAATGTTTACTGACCATTTCATCTGCCTTTGGATTCCATGTGCTGTCTTCTTGGATCTCCCTCAGCTCTTCCAAGACAGTGCTTTTTCCTCTAACTATGAATCTCTAACCCAGAGTTAAGCCAAGAACATCCTAAACTGCATGCTATCTCACTGATTCTAAGATGCACATTTATTCCCCCACATTTTAACATCTTTGGAATCAAGATGCATTTTTACATAAGTTTTTAAGTTATAAACTGAAGCTATTACCGTATTCTTTCTCACTGCCATGAGGCCCTTATAATCATGTATTTGGAAACTGACTAGGCTGGCAAGCTCTGGGTTCATATAAACTAGACACACAGATGTTATATATTGTACATGGGATTCTTTTAGTTCATAAACAAGCTGATCTACCAAACCTGTAGCAAAAGTAAGATATCTTTGAAATAAAGATATCCCTAGTAAATTCAACTACCAAAATAATTTAGCCTTTACATACTTTAACTTTTTAAGTGATTTAGAGTTATGTTGATTGTGTTCATCATTGGCATTTACCTACTGTGACTTTCTGTCATCTTTCTACTTACTCAGTTCTTACAGGATTCTGCTCATAAAAACCATAGTTGTAATTGGAATAAGTAGGCTAGAGAGTGAGTGTGTATGTGTGTCTATCTGTCTCATTTTTTTTGTATTAAAGCTGGTCATTGGCTTGAGTTTTTGCCATTGTATTAAATTATTTTATTCCTCACCCAGAATCATTTTAAACTACAGCACTTTCAGCAGCCTGGATAAATAATGTGAAATGATTTCTGGAATAATCCCTAATTAAAATTTGTCTGTCAGATAGAAGAGTATTCTTTCTCATGAATATGTGTGCTTGTGTGTGTTGTTTTTGTCAAGAAAGATATTTCCCCTACTTAGACCATTCATCTCAGAAGATGGTCTCGGTTGAACATTCTCCATAAAGAATTATACATCACTTCCTTATGACCAATGTGTTACTGCTTAATACTTATTTAATTTTAACCAGATTCAATAAAATGTCTCTAATCTTGGTGATCATATGTCCTGTTCTTTTTGTTCTTCCTGTCCACACCTCTTCCACTCCACTTTTCTGTGCCAAGACTTGTGCTTGACTACCTTTCGTCCACCTTTATCTGTAGGATATTGGGAGTATGTGGCATGCATCCTGACCATCAGGAAGCTCTAAAAAAGAACCGAGTGGTGCTGGCCAAACAGCTGTTGCTGAGTGAACTGTTAGAACACCTCTTGGAGAAGGACATCATCACCTTAGAAATGCGGGAGCTCATTCAGGTATCTGGAGGCAAAAGAGAAAAGCCAGGAAAATAAATTGGTTGTAGAAGTAGGAACAGAGCATGATTAAGTGTGGCAAGGATGTAGAACCTTACTAAGGAAATGAAAATGCCCTTCCACACTGCAGTGTTTAACACAAAAGATGGATAATGCAAGAGTAATGGGAAGAACTTCACTCAACACATATTTTTCCTGTAAGAACAAACATGACATTACTAGGAAGCTCATCTGGAGACGTAGAATTATAGCTAGATAAGTAAATATGATTTTTATGTTTTATTCTTCTATCTTAGGCCAAAGTTACAAGTTTCGGCCAGAATGTGGAACTCCTCAACTTGCTGCCCAAGAGGGGTCCTCAGGCTTTTGAGGCTTTCTGTGTAGCCCTGAGGGAGACCAAGCAGGGCCACCTGGAGGATCTGTTACTCACAACCCTTTCTGGTCTTCAGCACGTACTCCCACCGGTATGGAGCCCTAGAAATACGTTGAGAAGGGTTAGTTTGGCGGGAAAGGATTTTTTGAGACAGGGTGGAGGAGACTAGGTTTTTGTTTTCTTTGGACTGGACCATCTCCTTAAGGCTTGGCATGGTGGGTCCTGATTTCTTACAGTTGAGCTGTGACTACGACTTGAGTCTCCCTTTCCCGGTGTGTGAGTCCTGTCCTCCTCACAAGCAGCTCCGCCTGTCTACAGGTGAGAATTGATGGGATAAAAAGGGTCCTGCAGGTTGTCTTTTTTCTTGACTTGTATCGGACTTTGCCCTAGCACAATACCTATTTTCATTTATATTGGGAAGAGTTCCCTCAGTGAATTTTTTAGGGACTAACAGGACAGTTTAGTTGGGCCCATTTCCCTTCCATCACAGATGATATTTTTTATGGTAATTGGCCCTTGGAGCAGCCTGTACAGGTAGGAAATTCGTACATATGATTGGCCTATCGCCTCTATAAAGCTGAGTTATTTTAGAATCAGAAAAGACTACATTTGAGACTGCCCTGCTGATTGCGTAGCCCAGTGATTAGAACAAGGCTTTTTATCAGCTATCCCATTCAGTCGTTCAGTGAGTTGAGTACCTTCTATACGCAGGCTAAGTACAGAGGACCCAGTGATGAGCAAAAGCAGACAGGGTCTCTGCCCTCATGGATCTTACAAATTAGCAAAACCCCAGTTCAGAAGGGTGCCTGAAGTTATACTGAAGTACCAAGATTGATGCATAGATTGTGTGCTAGTTTTTTGGCTCTCTGTGGCACAGATACTGTGGAACACTCCCTAGACAACGGAGACGGTCCTCCCTGCCTTCAGGTGAAGCCTTGCACTCCTGAGTTTTATCAAGCACACTACCAGCTGGTGAGTCTTTCAGAATGGCAAGAGTTGAGGAATGAGATATCCTTCCTGGGCGTCTGAGCTTAGTTTGCATATACATTTCCTTCCTGCTTTATTTGTCAGAAAGTCATTGCTGATTGAATGTCTTAGGTGTGCATTTCTCTATTTTTATCTGGTGGGGTTAAGAAGAGTATGATGTCTTTGTTTTCTTGAAGTGTCTTATCTAGTCAGGAAACACAGTTTCTGTCCTCAAGAAACTCATGGTCTAATTGGCCTTCCCCCGCCAGGCCTATAGGTTGCAGTCTCGGCCTCGTGGCCTGGCACTGGTGCTGAGCAATGTGCACTTCACTGGAGAGAAGGACCTGGAGTTTCGCTCTGGAGGTGATGTGGACCACAGCACTCTAGTCACCCTCTTCAAGCTCTTGGGCTACAACGTCCATGTTCTTCTTGACCAGACTGCAAAGGTACCCAAGGCAGGAAACACTGCCATGTAAATTAGAGAGCTGGGCGGTGCAAATTAGGGTCAGCCAACTGCTTCAGTATTGACTTCCTAGGATAGCTGTGCTCTCCTGAAGAGTAATAAATAGTTCAGGGTTGAATTCTCATTTTTACATGTTAGGGAACTTGATTCCCAGTACTCGGGAGGTGAGGAAGTACTGAGATTCACCCAACCAACTCAGAAAAGATATTTATAGGCCAGGACAGTGCAGGACATTTACTTCTTGATTGATAATGCTACTTACAAGTCCAGTTATTGTTCAGAAGATTACTTTGGCAGATAAAATTCTTGTAAATGAAAGTTTGCTAAAATTGTCCTTATAAATACCATTTTTTTGACAGTTTAATGAATTAGCATATGGGGAAATTGCTCATTCTGAACAGTTGTATGGCCACAAGACAGATCTTAGGGTAGATTACTTCTGGACTAGATTCCTGTAGATCATTAGCCTTTTCATTGTGGCTTGTTCCCTGTTGACCTCAATTACTGAGCTGCACTACTGACATTGTTACCTTTAGGTATTTCTGTTTTGAAATTGATAATAGCCTGTTGGTAAATCGATATTAATTATTCATTTTGATTCCAGAATACTAGTACTTTCCTAAATTTGCCTTTCAGAATGTCAGTGGTAAAGTTTCCAGGAGATTGACTTTGATCTGTTGAGATAGGGGATCTTTGTTTCGTCTTCAGCATTATCTGTGGTCTTTGTTTCTGTTTCTCAGCACTCTTGCTTCTGTGAGAATAATTAAGCATTTGCTCTACTTTTGGTAAGGCCAGTTTCATCAGTAGGTACTTGAGTGTTCTTCTTGACATGCTGTTTTTGCCAGCTTCCTAATGACAGCCCATGCAAAGAAGTAAACCCACCTTTGTTTCAAAGTTATGTCTGGAACAATTGCTTCAGTTATCAAGTATTTAGGTAAACTATGTGCTTTCCTGAGAAGGCTGCTGGTCATGAAGTCATAAGTGTAGGACACCAGCCATAATTCCTAGAGGGAATCCTATAAGAAGCTCACTTAATAAAATGAGTGCTGTTTATGTTTCATATGTTTTGGTCTAGCTGTTCCTTTTACTAGGAATTCATGTTATGGTTTTCCAAATTTTATGCAATTGATAAGGGATGTTCTATACTTGGTTAAAAATACAATCCTGAGTCGCCAAGTTGGCTATATACTACTGTTTTTCAGAAACGTTCAGTAGATTTAATGAGCCCATGAGCCCACTTCACAAATACCATTCCCACTTATGCCAAACCTGATGCAGATCCAAAAACCTATTGGGTCCTAATTCTCTGGTTACATTGTTCTATAAGTAGAATTGCAGTTGAGTTAAACTTTGAGTTCCTTAAAATGGGGGGGAACTATGTTAGCTATCTAACTATGTTAGATTTTTAAAATGTGGACCTTGAGTTTAAGGTACCTCATTTAGATAAGGGAGTCTTGACATCAGCCAAAAAGGAAGTGTATCCCTTATGTTCCTAAGGACTAAACAAGATTAGAGACAGTGTCTTCTATAGTAGTTAAGAGGAAGAAACAATCGCCTGATTCCGTATGCTCAGAAGGAGAACTGGAGGATATGAGACTTGAGCTGGTCTTGAAGGATAGAAGCTACTAAAGCAGAGAGGAGTGGTGAAGGGATCCTAGGCAGGGAGAATAGCATATAGAACAGAAATGTGCGTGTGATGTTAGGGACCTAGTGGATAAACCAAATAAATGCCTAGGGCAAAGGACTGCCAAAAATAAGAATGAAAATAAAGGGACCAGAATGCACAGAGCCTTACTTCCCGAAGGAATTGAACTTCTTTATTTTGACATTAGAATATCATTAATAATTTTTGAACAGAAAGGTGGTGCATTCATAGTAATGATTCAGGAAGATTAATACAGCACTATTGTAAAGGATGAAGTACAGACTAGTGGCAGGGAATCCAGTTTGGAGTTAATATTGTAATGCCCGTATGAGATGTTGAGGGCCTGGGCAGGAAAGTAGACCAAACAGGAAAGAATTTCTGTGAAAAATAGTCTAATGGCGTGCTTGTACTATCAGCGCTTGGTGATTGATTGTATATGGAGAATGATGGGAAAATTAAGTAAGGAATTGAGGGCCTCAAAGGAAGTCAGGACCAAAGAGGAATTTGGGAATGACTTGTGTGGGAAAAATGCTTTAAGTAGTGAAAGAGTATGAGATCTTTGAGGAAGAGATTAGAGTAACAGGTACAAAAGGCTTAGGACTGAACTTTGGACTCTAGCCCTCCATGTAGCTTAATCCTCAGCTGTCAAGATTCAGAAATGTGAGGACATGCAGAATCAAAATTGACAGCGCCCAAACTCTCAGATACAGTTAAAATCAGGTAATTACAATGGGTATGATAAATTGATACACTGGGCATCTGCACAAAATACTTTCCTCCTGGTAGGACCTCTCATGAGACTCAGCTCTTTTATCAGGTCATTATTTTATGAGCAAAGAATCAGAACCAAAAAAATTAAGATCCTCTCTTTTTTACCCCTATTATACCTTTTTGATTTTAGAGATAATTCCGTTTAAAGATTGGAAGTAGTTTCGGCTTAGCGAATCCTCTTCCCTTGACAGTGCTAAAGAGCATGCTGATATTCTCACTGCTCACGTGGGTTTTCAGTTTTTCTCTTCATCATCAAAGTCTTTCCTCATTGAGTCTCCCTCATGAGGTTGCTAGTTCTAGAATAATAGTTTCTCATATAATATTAGGAAATGAGACACATTTTAAACTGGCAAATTTCCTTTTACCATAAGTATTGGTTTTTAACTTGCATTTGGGTCACAGACTGCTTTGAGAATGTAGGGACAAGCTAAGGGTCATTCCAGGAAAATGGAGCTACCCAGAAAATTTTGCATATAATTTCACAGGTTCACAGGTTATTATTTTCTCTTCTGTCCCCCATACCCCCAGCCAAAAACACACACAAGAGTTAAGACTCTGCTATTTATAGAAGTACTGTAATTTTATCAGAAATAAATCTACGGATCCTATTTTAAGCTATGCTTCTTTTGGAAAAATTCCTCCAATGACTAATCCCCATTTATTGAATGGTTTAGTCTTATTAAATTCAGTTACAAAGTGTGTGTTCTCACTTTGGGCTTTGTTGTTCTCTATTTACTGACCTAATAATCTCACTTAAGTTTAATACTCGTAAGTGCCAAGCATATATTTTTATTCTCTTCTTTGAGCAAAATTAACCTTAACTACTATATGTTAAATTCTATCATGGTCAACTCCAGGGAGCATCATACTTATGTATTCTCTTGAGATTATATGTTCTTGAAATAAATGAATTTTGGATATATCTTATTACCTTAAGATTTACAATCTTATGGTTGGTTTCAGTTTGGCCAGAAAATATACATACTTTTTCAACAGAGCCAATTTCTCCATTTCCAGTTAAGTTGCAGACTTTCAAGTTATTTTATGTCATTAAGTCTCAGTTATCTGCAAACGGAAGTATTCCAAACAAAGAGATCAGTAGTTCTCAAACTTTTGCATTTCAGAATCAACTGGAGGCTTTGTTAAACTACAGTTGCTGGGTCCCAAGACTTTGCATTTCTTACAAGTTCTCAGGTGATGCTGCTGTTTTAGGGACCACACTCTGAGATCCACTGCAATGTAGTATACAAGTGTGCTTTTCACTGGGGGCTGTATATGGTAACTGTTAGATATACGTGTACTGTAACTGTTCTGCATAGGTAGCATATTCATCATTGTAGTTCATTCATAATAAAATGAACTTGTTTTCTCTTTGCTTATCTCAGATAGGAGAGACAACCCAAAAATCTTGAGCTGCAGAGGGAGACATAGGTTTAACCATTTGCATCAGATTGTTATACTATTAGATATAGTCTATTTTTCCATTGGATGGGCCAAATGCTTAAGGTAGAATGGTATTCATGTAGGGCAACTTAGTGCAAGATAAACAAGATTCTTAAATTGGACTACAAGATTGACCAATAATAGGTCTCTTCGAAAAAATGGTATCCTTGTTACTCTTTGTTAGACAAGCATATTATAATAGTGGCAGATCTTTGCAATATATGCCGGACATAGTAATAAGTCCTTTCTATTTAATATCTTATTTAATCTTCACAAACTTGGAGAAAATTTACTCTTAATTATCTTCTTAAAAAATAGGTATTAGAGCCTTGGGGGGCTAAGTAACTGGTTCCTGTTTATGAACCCAGGGGTCAAACCTAGGTTTGTCTGATTCCGTAACCTGTGTATGAAGTCGTAGCCCTGTACAGAATCCTCCATAGAGTGTGCTCTTCCCTGAACAAAGCATCTATTATACAGACGTTGTCACCGTCTCTGGGAACTTAAAATCTCAGACAGAATATAGCCTAGAAGTACTACTGCTGTTCTCTATTGTTATGATGCTGTTAGCCCTTTGTCACAGAGCAGGTTATTTTCCTGTAGTTGGAGAGGTAGGTTACTTATTCATTCACAGCTCACCTGGTGGTCCCCCTTGTGCCATATATTTGCAAGGGTATTGCTCTACAGAAGGATCTGGTTGATGACTGGGGAATGGATAAAGTTAATTCACTCATGATTAGCTTCATTAGTAACTTGCTTTAATCCGGGAGTTCTTAACATATCTCAGTGAGTCTGTGAATTTTGTGAAATTATGTTGAGAATTCTGTATCTGAAGTCATGCATTCTTCTGGTGAGTCCACAGCTTTCTTCAGCTTCTCAAAGGGTCTCTGACTTCAGTTATTGACCACAGGAACGTTCAGAAAACATTTTAATCTTCTAATAGCTTAGAGTGTCAGACACCAAAGTAAAGCTTATGTTGGTGCTGTCTACAGTGAACAACACTAAAAGTTATCTTTCTTCTAGGAAATGCAAGAGAAACTCCAGAATTTTGCCCAGTTACCTGCTCACCGTGTCACTGACTCCTGCATAGTGGCACTCCTCTCTCATGGCGTGGAGGGTGGCATCTATGGTGTGGATGGCAAACTGCTTCAGGTACGTGCAGTCTTGTGGATGATAGCTCTTGAAGCCAGGTGGCTTCGCCTCCCCTGCCTGCCTGTCTTCCCAGTGATGGCTGCTATTGTATGTATAGAACTCAGGAGGTCCTACTGACTGCTTAACCTCCCTTCTCCCTTATTTCTTTCTGGCAGCTGCAAGAGGTTTTTCGGCTCTTTGACAATGCCAACTGCCCGAGCCTACAGAACAAGCCGAAAATGTTCTTCATCCAGGCCTGCCGTGGAGGTGAGTGCCCTAGCAGACCAGCACCTGGGTGGTGGCTCCTGGGCAGCCTCCCACCAGCTCTCACTTTCCTGTTTGCTCCTCTCAGGTGCTATTGGATCCCTTGGGCACCTCCTTCTGTTCACTGCTGCCACCGCCTCTCTTGCTCTGTAAGTGTCTCCCAATGCATGGGGTGTGCTGGGACTTGGGCAGCCCATGGCTCTCAGGTTGGTCAGCTCTCTGTGCACCGTCATATCCTGTTCTCAAGACTCTCTTTATCTGTGTCTTTGCCTTCTTTCCTGAGAACCCTTACTTTTTTCTGTGCTTATTAATAACACTGATGCACTTTTTTTTGGTTACTCATTCCAGTTAAGGATTTTCTGTCTGTCTCTTCTTCCTGTCCCTCCCACTTCATCCCCTTCCTCTTTTCCTGTCTCCATCTCTCTCCCCCTTTCCACTTTCTCCTTTACTTCTCTTTTCACCTATACTGCCATTCTTGCCTCCTTCCTTCCCTTTGTCATTCCTGTACCCTGCAGGATAGCAGTGCGGAAGCCCCATGTCAGCCTGTGGCTCTTACTCTTCCATGAGCTGCTTCCGTCCCTCTTCTTTCTTGCATGCAGCCTGTTTTACCTCTTTAAGTGCCAGGACTCCGTGACTAGGCTCAGAAGACATGCGAGCATGCTGCTCATCCTGGAGGAAAACAGTAATAATTAAAAGCTCTATCCTTGGAGTCAGATTCTACCTCTACCACTGACTGGTTATGTCAAGTCAGAGAAGTTACTTGATGTCCCTCCACCTTAGTTTCCTCCATCAAAAATGTAGATAATTATCAGACGTACTTAAAGTTGTTGTGATGGTTAAATGAAATCATACGAATGAAAGGCTCATAGTAAATCCACAGAAAATGTAACTGTGACTGTTATAACATGATCAAGGGGCTCGTTGTTTGGTTTAAAGGTCACTTTGTCCAAACATTCAAATAATTTTTTTTTATCTATTGCGTGTTCAACAGATGTAAATGGTTAATATTGTTATTATGCTCCTAATGTCACCAAAGAATATGGTTTGTTAAGGTCCTGTAACATGACGAGGACTATACAAAAGGAAAAGAAAATGTTTTCTCCAGGCCGGTCCGGTGGCGCAGCGGTTAAGTTTGCACGTTCCGCTTCTCGGCTGCCCGGGGTTCACCAGTTTGGATCCTGGGTGCGGACATGGCACCGCTTGGCACGCCATGCTGTAGTAGGCGTCCCACATATAAAGTAGAGGAAGATGGGCACGATGTTAGCTCAGGGCCAGGCTTCCTCAGCAAAAAGTGGAGGACTGGCAGTAGTTAGCTCAGGGCTAATCTTCCTCAAAAAAAAAAAAAGAAGAAAGTGTTTTCTCTCTCTAAAGAGCATACTGTTTCTCAGAAAATAAAGCAAAGTAGCTTGAGAATGGTTCAAAAGCCTCAAGTAAACAAGAGTGAAATTAATGAGGTGTGAACATTTTAAGTGAGCTTAGTTTGAAGAGATTTTGTGGATAGGGTAAGGCTTTAATTTGGACCCAGAATGATAAGCTTTACATAGATGTGGAGTAGCAGGTAGAACCTTTCAGAGGAAAAGAGGGAATACAATATGAGAAGCATGCCAAGATTAAAAGGCTGCCCCCCCCTCACCAAAAAAGAATGGTGTGTTGAACCAGAAGTATGCCCGTATCTAATTAAAAGTTGAGCATCTGTGTAAGTGTGTAGTGAGATGTGGCTGGCCACATGAGCTAGATAAGCTGATTATAAACCTTTAGTCACAGCTGAGGTTTTGGACTTTAACAGATAATAGTATGGAGCTATTGTGAGCTTAAGTAAGAAATAATGTGACAAATTTTTTTCCAGGACAATTTCCATGGCGGGGTGCTGCACTAAGAAGAGTGTGTGAGAGCAGGAACTTATTTTTCACCTGCTGTATCCCTAGGCCCAGAGCATTGCCTGATACATGGTAGCCCTTAATAAACATTGAACGAACGGATGAAAACTAATTTGCCTAAAAAATTGTAGCAATAATGTAGAAAACAGATGTGGGGGTATTGTGAAGAAAGAATCGATAACATTTATTGATTAATAGATGTGAGATGTGAAGGCAAGAGAGAATTTTCCTTTCTCTTGAGGGACACATTCAGCTTGGCCTGTTTCCTTTTTACAAGGTATCACCAAGCAAAGTAAAATGAAATAAAGACATTCATGATCATTTTCTCCTATATTCAGAGATATGTACAGTGTAGATCTGGATTGGGAGAAATTGCTCTTTTCTGGGGTCATTTGGATCTTTTCTCTAAAATTAAATCCTTCAGGGAATGACCAGTGCTCCTTTGAAAATTTGAGGTCACCTGTCATCTGTCCTATTTAGTTAACGTAATTGATGTCTGTAAGAAGTCCCGTCCTCTGTCCTATCGTCCCCGCCCCGCACCCCGCTCCTAAACTGAAGAGTAAGCTCCATCAGAGCAGCAGCCTTTTCTTCCCTGTATCCCTAGGGCTCAAAGCAGAAACAGTGCCTGGCATATGGCAGTTGCTCAGTAAATTTTTATTGGATCAGTGAATCTTGGTCGTTTTCCCCATAATTCTTCAAGCTTCACTCCCCTTTTAGGCTCTCTTGAATGTTGCATGGAGCAGGAAATACTGTAAAAGAGCATACTCTTATCTTTCGTTTGTTGAGCTGTGTGTCCTCCCTGTCTTTCCTCCCTACAGCACCCCCAAAATAAAACAGCATCAAGATAAGAATATGTGTAGGGATAGATAAGGCCTGGGTCAAGACGTTGGGCGTGTACTCAGGGTATGTTGAGAAATGACTGCCAAAATTGAACAATAGTGTTCTTTTTCAATTATATAGAAGAAAATAGTCAAATTATCCTAAGTTTTTCCTCTTTTAAATTTCTCTTGAATCTTGGATGCCCCCTACAATTTGTCTTATGAAATTAATAAACAAGTAGTAAGTGATTTAAAAATACCAAAAGCTGATTATGCTTAGTTTCATAGTGTTTTATTGATACATAGGTTTGAAGTTGTGATTTTATATAGCATGCATATAGTAATCATTTTTAGTTTATTAACTTTTTCTTTTTTATATAATAAAACTAAATGTATCCGTATTTTGTTGTGTATTGCAATAAAAAGCACTGTGACTCCCAGGTATATTGCTAATTGAACAAGGAAATCATGGACATGGATGACTTTTAGTTGTGTTTACAAGGAGTGTGGGATTCAGCACTTTTCCTGTCTTACACAGAATGGACAAAGCTTAGACCATATCTAAGTGAACATGCTTGAGCACCGTGCCTGGCCTGTAATGGGCACTCCCTGAGGAATGGAGGCATGCTGAGAGAGGAATGAGTAACGATTTTTGCTTTTGTTTTAACAGACATAGGTTGGAGGTAACAGCTGGAAATGGCTCTTCCTAGTCAAGATTGTAGGGAACTTGGGCTTGCCTATGATGGGCCCAAGAGAGATGGGAGGAACTAATGTCTTTGTCCATTCTGTCTGCCTTTTTACAGATGAAACAGATCGTGGGGTTGACCAGCAAGATGGAAAGAACCATGCAAAATCCCCTGAGTGCGAGGAGAGTGATGCTGGTAAAGAGGAGTTGCTGAAGATGCGACTGCCCACTCGCTCAGACATGATATGTGGCTATGCCTGCCTCAAAGGTATTTTGAGTTCTAAAAGTTGACACTCTCTTAGACATGTAGTTTTTCATACTGGCTCTCTGACTGGGGAAGGTACAAGGTGCCATGGAAGTCTAGTTTGGGATGTCCAGCTGTGTGAGGGTATTCTGTAACTTTCACACTGTGGTTAATACTGTCCTGTTTGCAGGGACTGCTGCCATGCGTAACACCAAAAGGGGTTCCTGGTACATTGAGGCCCTCACCCAAGTGTTCTCTGAGAGAGCTTGTGACATGCACGTGGCCGACATGCTTGTTAAGGTACGTTGGCTCAGTTTGGCTCCATGAAGCTTTTGCATCTCCACAGTGTTCTACCTTCCTCCTCCCATGCACTATTTTTCATAGTGTCTCTCCCCTTCTGGTTGTGCTGGTATCGTGCAAACACCACATTCTCAGACTTTGGACCGTTGCTTTCTGCCCTTCCAGGTGAATGCACTTATCAAGGAGCGTGAAGGATATGCCCCTGGCACAGAGTTCCACCGATGCAAGGAGATGTCTGAGTACTGTAGCACTCTGTGCCGTCACCTCTATCTATTCCCAGGACACCCTCCCACGTGATGCCACCTCTCCATCATCCATGCTGGATAGAGGCTGCTGGACCACAGGAAGCATGAGACAGCCTTTTCTCTTCAAGATGCACGGTTTCTGTTCTCCCCTCTCAGGGATTGGGAATCTCCCAGGCTTGTTTCACACACTCATCATCTCCGCCTTTGAGTGTGGGACTATGTGAAGCTCTTTCCCTGTAGAGCTGGCTCTGGCTGGACTTATTGCCAAGTGTTTGGCTGCAGTAGAGGAGCCTGGTAAATGATGTTGTGAACACAGTGTCTTTATGGGGAGAGTGCATATGGGTTTCCTCGATGTTTGTGTTGAGTTCCTGCCCCCAGGGTTTTGTAGGTAGCACTTTGGTAATTGCTTTCGTTATGTTAGTTAAGAGGTCTCAGAGATCATCTCCTATCTTTTCTTTCATGTCCCAACCCCATTTGTCCCAGAGTGAGTTGCTGGGACCTCGGGTGCATAGGAAATAGGTTGTTTGACTTCTTCTTCATAAAGGGAAAGCGGCTACTGAGCTAACTGCTTAATGGGCTTCTATTTCCCTGAGAATAAACACGTGACACAAGAGGAATGTCATGAGATCAAGGGTGATTTAATGTAGGCATTTTTCATTTGTCTTCAAAAAGACAAACAGAACTAGAGACACACTCTGTTGCTATATGTGGAAATGACCTGTGCATTCCCTTCGGAACCGCAAGGCCACACAGTGGAAGGACAGTCTTCTCAGCTCAAGGAATTCAACTGTTCAGCAGAGCTTAGGGTTTGGATGCCTTGTGTCTGTAACTTGGTGATCTTTGCCCACAGAAGTTCCAAAGATCTTTTAATTGTTGTTCTCTCTCTGAACTTTGTTACTGAAATGAGCCTTGCAGAGAGTGTCAGCTCGTTGATCTTTGCCCACGGAAGTTGCAAAGATCTTTTAATTGGTGGTTCTCTCTCTGAACTTTGTTACTGAAATAAGCCTTGCAGAGTGTCAGCAGAGGCAGATAAGAGTAGCTTGTACTCTACAACCTGTCACCTTATCTTCTCTTTTCTTCCTATGAAATGTCCCTTTCTGTAAAAGCTTCCTAGTTGTTATCTCCCTGCTTCCTGTTTCCTCTCCTCTTTACCTTCATTTCATCCTGTTTATTGCTGCCCCCAAATTGCTTAGATAGTACTTAATTGGATCATTGGCTGCTCAAGGATATAATGCAGTACCTTGTTCCTGCTTTCTGCTTCAGTGTTAAATCCCCTTTTGATTTTATATGGCCTGTTTCCCCTTCCCATTACGTTTCTCCATTTCAAGGAGGGCACTTCCATATGTTATTAGGTTACCCTAGAAGCCTTCTTTATCTTTGCTTCTATGAAACTCTCCTGTTCTTTAAGCCCTTCTTTTCTACTTCTATTCTTGCCCCTTCTAATCTAACCTCTATGTGACAGATTTTGGTTTTGATTTTTAAATAGAAATCTGATCATGTCACTCCCGTGTTTGGAACGCTTTGGTTTCCTTCTATACCTCAAATAAAATCCAACTTCTTACCTTGGCCTACAAGGCCCCTGCCTTCCCCCTTGAACCTCATTAAGTACTAATTTCCCTCTAAATGACAGCCACAGTGGCTTCTTCAGTTTCATAATTCTGAGCTCTTTCCTGTCCTGGACCATCTCACTTTTCTGGGGTCTCCCGTCCTTGGCTTGAGTGGCTTCTTCATTCTTCAAGTCTCAGCTTAAAGCCCCCCTCCGGAGGCCTTCCCAGGCCCTTCTATCTGTAAACAGTCTTCTCCTGTGCTTCTCTCTTACTGCATCCTGTTTAATTCCTTTGTTGCACATATCACAATCTATAATCATATATTTACTTGCTTCACCTGTTCATTTCTGTCTCCCCTACTAGGTCGTAAGTTCCATGAGAGCAGAACCCTTGTCTCTCTTGTTCACCAGTATGTACCCAGTGCCTGGCACATGGTAGGTCTTCAATAAATGTTTGTTGAATGAAAGAAGGAAGAAAGCAATCCTAGCTAGAATCCTCCTTTTTGACAAAATTTCCCTTTGATAATATACACAGTTGAGCGTTTGTACTCTATTTTTCCATGTGTTTTGTTTTATCCACTGGTATTAATTAGCTCCTGAAGACAGATGTCATGTGTGAGACAGATGTCACGTGTGAGACAACTTCCTCCACTTCCCCCATAGTGCCTGGCACAGTGCTCGGCCTACAGAAGTTCAGGTGCTTAGTCAATACTTGTTCTGTGAGCCAGGTGGTTCAGAGACTTGTTGCCAAGTCCTGCCCTTGGGTCAGTATCATATGGAAGTATTTGGGTGATAGAACCTTTCCACTTCCCACTGCCAGGATTTTGTATTGCCATCAGGTGCCAAATAAATGCTCGTATTTATTACTGATGTCTGTGTGTGTCTAGATACTCAGTCTTATGAATCCCACATATTTTCCTTCCGTAGCCCCTGACAGCATTCCTCACCATGTCACAAGGCATACTCAGGGCTGAACACCCCTTATTATTTTGCTGCTAGACCTTCTTTATATGTGCAGGTCCACACCTGAGATGAGCCCATCTTAGTTGTCACGGCCACAGGCAACTGCTGAAAATGTAGTTAGCGCTGGGATTTCTCATGGTCAGAAGATGGCAGAGTCATTAGCAAGCAGTGTTGCTTCTGGATTATTTAGATTATGAGATGGAGGCTGGAAAAACAGATTGGGCTGGAATAGGAGGATGATGGGGATTGTACAGTTCCATTTCTCATATGGTCCAATTTGGAGTTGATGGGCATAGATTGTAAGAGAGGACTCTAGGGCAGCATAGAAGAGCTCTAATCAATGGGCTGCGTGTGAGTTGGGGATTCTCGGGGTGCAATGTATCTAAAGTGTGTTCTTGGAGAGGCAAATGGGCTATGGAGGTTTAGCAGGGGATGGGAAATTCTATAGAAGCATTTTGGTAGGAAGCAGCTGTGGACCCTTGGTGATAGTTGTTGAGAAATACACAGGGGAAGAACAAAAAGGGATTAAGTTGAGCTGAAGCCTCTCACCAGGTGGAGGGAGGGGAATTGGCTGAGGAAGAACACAGGCAAAAGGCATGAATAGTAGACTGAAACTGGCTGGCTGTACTGTGAGAAAAACAGTGGGATATCTCAAGGGAGGAAGGAATACAAAGTCTAGGAGAGGTTAGGGACGTACTGGAATAGTGGGAGTAAGGTAAGTGCCCATGTTCAGGATAGGAGGGCTTTTGGGAGGTGTGATATGTTTGGGGATTACAGAGCAGCATCTGTCTCTGAGCTGGGTTCCATGTCCTTGCCAGCCCCGCCCTTGAATAAGGGTATCAGGTTGAATTTCACAGCCCTATTCCCTTCCCCCTGCTTGCCTTTGCCAGGGGATTCTCTGCTAAAATTATCCCCCTCCCTGAGCTGGGGGCTGCCCTTCTCTGCTGCCCTTCCCCATCCTGTTTCCTCTAATGGGGAAGAGGAAAAAAGGAAGAGATGAAACAAATGAGATATCAGAGCCAAGGCGGAAAGTATCTAATTGGAAGGGGGAAGACATTAATAGTCGACTGAGTGCTTGTGTGTCACAGATACTATGCTTGGGCTCTACAGTACGTCCTCCCCGCAGGCCAACAAGGTAGTCATTTTTTCATTTTTATCAGAAAAGGAAAATGAGGCTTGGAGACTTGAATTATACAAAAAAGGAAGAAGTGTAGCTTTAAGGGCATGGCCTCTGGAATTAAATAGATTTTGAATGCGGGCTCAGCCTTTTAAGATACATGGGCTAAGGAACCTAACCCTACTGAACATCAGTCTCCCTCATCTGAAAATAAGGAAAGTTGTTTCTACCTTAAAAGGTACCTATGAGATGACGTGATAATGCATGGTGAATCATGCTGTGTTAACACATTACAGATACTTAGCGATTGTGAACTATCTTACAGAAGGAGCTTCAGTTTAGTAATACAAGTTAACATTCAGTGCCTACTATGAAGCAAACACTATGTAACTTTTTTGCATGCATCCTTATATCTGTATAACCCTCTAGATTACTGCCTTTCTGAAGAAACAGGCCAGGATGTGAACCGAAATCTGTCGGCTTGAGTGTACACTCTTTTTTCTTTTGGTGAGGAAGATTGGCCCTGAACTAACATCTTTGCCAGTCTTCCTCTATTTTATGTGGGATGCCACCACAGTATGGCTTGATGAAGTGGGCGTCTGCACCCGGGATCTGAATCCGTGAACCCTGGTCCACTGAAGCAGAGCGCGCAAACTTAACCACTACACCACGGGGCCAACCCAAGTGTGCACTCTTAACTAACAATATTGCTTCTGTGACTTTTCCTATCATGAGATCTCCTTCCTCACTTTTATGGGCTATAGATGCTTCCCACTGAGCTGGGAAAATGAGCCTGAAACCAAAGACTTTATTCCTTCATAGCCTGGTTGGGTAGAGAGTAGGGAAAAAATGTATCATATCTGAAAAACCAGAAGAGGGAGAAAGAGACCTGTCCAGCGCTATCAGGAAGGCCTCACATGCAGGGCATAGGACGGGACCAAGGATTTGTAAAGGATCTGGAAGGCAAGGTCCAATAAGGAGTGAAGAGAAATGACTACCAGTGAGTACGTGTACAAAGAGAAAGCATTTTCAGGAGGAAGTTGCGGTTACGTAAGTGAAATTTCAGAAAGGTGGGTGCTCGTGGTTCCAAGCTAAGTTGGATGTGTGAGGGACGGTGGTGACTGAGGACCTCCTTAAAGAGTATAGTGGTGTATTGTCCAGCAGGTTGGGGAGGCCAGACTTCAAGAGGTGGGAGTCTGAAAACAAATGTGTAACAGAGAGAAAGTTCATACTTCAAAATTGATTTGGGGATGCCAAGGGGCTGGCTCCTCTCATCCACCTACACAGGTTTCCCCCAATATCTGAAAGCAGAGCGTTCCTATGAAGCCTTTCGTAAGCTGAAATGGCATAAAGCAAAGAAGCAATTACCATTTATTTATATGGGGAAATTTTTTGAGCGTTCCCTGGATCCAAAAAATAACCTACCAAATCATGCCAAATACCACATAAAACCTAAAAAAAACACTTTAAAGCAGGAATACTGTGAGAAATACACAGCTTATATAAAGTAGAAATAATGTATGTACAGTAATGTAGTTTCATGTACCAGAATGGGGGGGCCTGGGCACACTGGAAAGCTGAGAGGTGGTAGTGGTGATGATGGTGGGGTTAGGCTGAATCATCAGAGGCTGAGGTGGCGGGAGGTCCAGGAGATGGGTGTAGGAGAGAGAGGAAGAGAGCCACCTATTAACATCTCATTGACTGAATCCGTGAGGGCAGGCAGGTCACTAACAGCTACACCTATGTCTGCCTGCCTGGATGTTGAGGTTCATTGTCTGCTGTGGCTGATGTGAAACCTTGAAATACGACAGCGTGTTTGACTGTTTGGTCGCTGCAAAACACAATGAATGCTTTTTTTTTTTTTTTTTTTTTTGAGGAAGATTAGCCCTGAGCTAACATCTGCTGCCAATCCTCCTCTTTTTGCTGACGAAGACTGGCCCTGAGCTAACATCTGTGCCCATCTTCCTCTGCTTTATACCTGGGACGCCTACCACAGCATGGCTTGCCAGGCAGTGCCATGTCCACACCCGGGATCTGAACCGGTGAACCCCGGGCCACTGAAGCAGAATGTGCACACTTAACTGCTGTGCCACCAGGTGGCCCCGTGAAAGCTATTTTTGTTTTTTGCCTTTTTCGTAAAAGTGAAAATCCTCTTCGGATTTCTTTCACTTAGCAAAAACAGATAATGTAGATCTTTCATAAAAGAGAAGTGGCATAAAGTGAACTTTTGGATGACCAGGGAAACCAGTACCCCAACACACACCATGGTCATTTTTGCCAACCTTTCTTCAAATTGCAATTCCTTAAGCCTGTTAACCTTTTAGTATCATGGACCTCAAGAAAATCTATTTAAAACCCCAGAAGAATAAATATCTTACGCAGTATGCATATTTTATAGAATACATGGGTGCTTATGAATTTGTTTCCAAATTTAGGAGCTTTTCACAGAACCTCCTAGAAATTCAGCTTTGACCTTGCAAATGAGAACCTAAGCACTGTACCCGTGGAGTGTTGCGGTGAGGGGCTGGGCATAATTTAATTTTATTTTCTTGTTCTCTTGCAGGATGAAAACCTATGAGATTTTAACTATTTCTAATCTCAAACATGGGAGAATTACTCTCAAATCCTTGCCCTCCAGCACCAGCAGCTGCAGATTTTCTTGACCCTCCTAATTTCAGAATCTGGTTTTTAGAATTGCAGCTGGTGCTTCGACTTGGCTTGGTCAAGTGTGAGGGTTTTCGCAGTCATGCTGATCCCTGCCTTCAAGTCTCAGAGTCCATAACCAGGACCAGACTTTCTCAGGAATAGTGAAGAAACAGAAATTGCATTAGATACCTGTTTCTTGGGGTTATCAAGTCCCCACAGAAACTGGCTACCTTCAGGAGAGCCAAGCTCGACCAGCACTTGATAGGCTTTTCTATTTCTGAAGCCCCCCAAAGAATATAATTTCATTTTGGCACTCTATTTTCTTTATTTACAAAAGCATGCCTTTCATCCCACACCCAACCCTTAGATCTCTTTCCTATTTTCTGCCTGTGGAGAAGGCAGATATCACAGAGCCTTCAGTTCCTCGAGTCATCATCACATGTTTGTGATCCTTGTGAGTGGATTATAGGCCTTTGGGCATGCAGGATTGTTAGAAAAGTGCCTTCATTAGTATCCATCTTCCCACCTGCTTTGGACAATTCCATTTAGCCTAGAGCAAAATTAATTTTAGACTAGATATTTGGTGTCCCTACCCTGTATCCCTGAACTCAGACTGTCCTGCAACAGACCCTGCTTGGTGATGGATCCTAATCTACACATTACCTCCTGTTTATAACTTTTCTTCTACAGAGAGGAGTTCATAGGAGAAGGAATGTCCTAGGAAAATTGGTAAATTAATAGATAAATAAGTAAAAGTGATGCAAGATAGGGTAGTTTGGCCTTGGCCAAAAATTATTTATTGGCCTGAAAAGGGAAGGATAGCAGAGTACTTCCCTGTCATCTGTCATGTTGTCAGGCTCATCATCATCACACTCACTCCCTTTCCCCTCCACCTCCCCATGCCCCTGGCCCACTTCCCCTTCTCCCCTGTTATCTGACTGGCCCCGATGGACCTAAGATGGGTGCTCGACAGTCTAAATGGAAGTGCAGTCCCTCGCTGTAAATCCAGGTTGCTAGCGTGGCTGACATATCACCTGGGAAGTGGGAGAAATGCTAGAACCCAAGGCTATCACCCCTGCTTCCCACAAGCACCCCACACCCAGTGAGTGATAAGGGTGGGGTCAGGGGATGGCACAAGGCATTATTAGCAGCCTGTGGCAGACAGAAAAGGCAGAGCTGGAGGAGAAAACTGAAACTTGGATGGGGTGGGAGAGCTGGTCTGACTGATGAGGACTGTGCCTCGGGAAGATACAGAGCTGGGAACAACCCCACAGGGAAAGATGGCAGAGAGGCGCCGGCTACTCTCCCAGGTGGGTTACTCTCCAGTGCTTGCAGGCCTTCAAACCCCTCCGTCTAGCACCCCGCCCCTCACCTTTCCACAGACTGATTTGAAAAGAGGCGGGACACAGAGGGTGCAGATTCCGCTCTCTCCAGGAGCACACAGGTTTGAGAGCATGCTAAGCAGTTTTCCATCCTGGTCCGGGCAATATTTATAGAGGAACCAGTGGCTTGAGGCTGGAAACCTCCTGGTAACTAAGGAGGGGGGCAGTGCTGCTGGCCCTGCTGAGGGAGTTCCCTGTGGGGCTGTTCCTCAGGTTCTCATCCAACCCCTCCCCCGCACTGCTCTCACACCTGCTTCGACCCCAGGCAGATCAGATGTGGCAGTGGGGGGGTCATGTGACGGAGAGATGGCTATAAATAGCTGGGGGTGGGCATGCTGCCCCAGACGCCTTGGGGACAGGCGAGAGGACAGGCTTAAGGAGCTGTATTGTGGGGAGGACTGGGGCAAGCAGGCCAAGGCCTGGCCAGGGGAGGGAGCATGGAGCCATCTGAGTCCCAGAGGCGTAGGGGCGAACAAAGCTGGTGGGGTAGTGCCCCCCAGTACCAGTATATGCCCTTTGAACACTGCACCAGCTACGGACTGCCCTCTGAGAATGGGGGCCTTCAGCACAGGCTCTGGAGGGATGCAGGCCACCATCCTAACGCCCACCCCACACAGGTAAAGTCCTAAGGGGAGGGGGCGGTGAATTTGAGGAGACAGAGGTGTGATGGATTGGGGTAAAGGAGGAATTAGGCAAAAAAAGGGAGCAGTGTTATCTTTTCTAACTTAAAAAAGTACATGATAATGTGTTCAAAATATGAAAGTCCTTCAAGGGGCTGGTCTCAGCTGAGTGTGCACTTGGAGAGACGACACTTGTACTTTTATATAACCTTTACTAACAGAATCCTATGGGGACCAGCGGAGCCGCACATGCATGAGAAGCTCGTGCTTACATAACCCACATGGAGTGGCTGGCGTGGGAGCCCACACCTCTGCGTGTGCGAGCTGAGTCTTATACCCTCACCCACATGCAGGCACCAACCAGATTTCTCCCTCCCCTCCCCTCCGCAGAACACACACAAATAAACACTTGTGCAGAAGGCAGGAGAGTTGGGATAAGTGGAGAAAAGAGACTGAATTGCATATCAGTGATCAAAGGTATACTACCATCAAAATGAGCAGAAAAAATCCAATCAAACGTTCAGGTGGGAAGATTTCTCCAGTGAGAACCTGATAAGTGGTAGCCACCTGGAAAGGCACGGACATATGAGCCTAGCGAGAGGGGCTTGCAAACTGACTCGGGGTGTCCAGGGATAATTATCCTCCAGGAGTGGGGATATAGGAGCGGGGAATGGGGTGGACACAACTAAAGGAAAGGTTGGGAGACTGTCACAGACAAAGGTTGTGATGAGTGAGTGCATGATGATGAGGGCACACAGAGTGCGACAGGATGGAACCTGTCAGGAGAAGTAGGAAACCAGAATTGAAAAGTATTTTAGCTAACTGAGGGGGAGGGGGAGCTTGCGCTTCCTTTAGTTTAGGGGATCTGTGCAGAGCTGGGAACCTGAGGGGGGCGCTGTGCCCGTGGTCTCAGCACTGGGGGTCAAGAGGATCCATGTCTCAGTCCTGATCAGTCCCTGGGGCTGGTTGCTAAAGGCAGCCTTGGGCAATCATTTGGTGAGTGGGGACACAAAAGTTAGGGGGGGCTCGAGTCAGAGGGAGCTTTCTCGAGAAGGTAGGGCCTGGCCTTGGAGCCCTGTGTGGGATTGGACAGAAAGACCCCTCCTTGTGGCCCTGTGCACACTCTCACCCACACAAATGTTCACATCTAGATGGGAGGACAGCTTGAGTAAAAGCTCAGTGGTGGTACTTTCTAGTGACAGTGAGGAAGGCAGGCAAACTAGTGTGACGTTTCATGTTGGAAAGGAATGGCAAATTAATTTGGGAAGTAGGATTGGGCTGGTTTCCAGGGGGCCTTGAAAGCAAAGAAGAGCTTCAATATAAGTTTTTCTGTGTTTAATTTTTTTCAATGGAAAATTTCAAACTTACACAAAAATAAAGAGAATAGTATAATGAATCCCCAAGTACCCCTTAGCTAGCTTCAACAATTGTCAATAATTTGTTGACATCGTCTCATCTATCCTTCCCATTCCTGGCCTCACCCCTACACACACTGGTGTTTTTGTTAACAAATCCTAGACAAAGCATCCCTTTTGGACGTGAGTTTTGACGTCTCCCTCCTCTCCCTTAGCCCTGCTCTGGTGTGGCGGTAAGCCCTGATCCAGCCAGCCAACAGCCAACACAGATTTGGCTTTTTTAGTGTTTCCCAGCACAGGTTTGGTATGAAGCACCCCTGCCCCTTCCTTGGGTCCATCAGTCTAGACCCAAGGGAGCTGAGATAACCTGTGGACGTGCACTGACCTCCATTGGTAGTGTCTTCTCTCTGGGTCCCAGGTAGGGTGTGGAGGGAAACACTGCCCCCCTTCATCACTAATCTCATCCCAGAAGATGAAACAGTGTGAGCAGGGTATTAGTGTGTGCTTGTCCCGGACTCAGGCATAAACTCTGCTGCTCGTATTGTGAAATTAGATCTCTTCTACCCAGGCTCTCCCAGAACCAGCAACGTGGCCTGGCCTGACCCTGGCCCCAGAGGACAGAGTCAGTGCAGTGGGGGTGGGTAGGCTAAAAGCAGTTAGAGACCTTGCACTACCCCCTCACCCCACAAACACACATGCTCTAAGTCAGGATGAGAGTAGAGGACTACTGGATCTGAGGGCGCTGTTCCACCCTCTTCTCCTTTAGGTGAGCATCTAATTATCTTGCTCTGGGAAGAAGTAGATTGACTTGCCTTATCAGGACTGGTTCCTGTATGCATACAAGCACAGGGAGGTGAGGTGGATGGGCTTTCTCTAAGCTTCGCAGAGCATCCGAGCCGCCTCAAGTTAAGGCTAGACACACCCAAGGCACAGTGCAACCAAGAGTCACCTGCTGGTCTGTCCTCACCCTGTCCACGTCAGGATTCCTAGGAGGGAAGTCAGTGCAGAGGGTCTGGGGAAATAAGAGAAGCTGAGATACGATAAGCAGAGTGACACATAAAACATCTAATTGACACAGATGCCCAGTCTTAGCACAGTTCTCGTATCTCTACTTCAGAATAGAACTTGGCGTCCTTGATGAAGGTTGTCATTGACCAAGATGAGTACAGATATAGAGAGGATGAGGATGGACAGACAGGGATGAAGAGCAGATAGAGAACAGGCAGTGGAGGGCAGGGATGACCGCAAAGTGACTCTCCATGAGGCCCTCAACCTCCAGGATTTTAAAAACCTGTTTGTTTTTTCTGTGGGTCTATTCCTTTTGATCTTCAACAGGACAGACATTTCCTATTCTCCCTCTGCCCAGATTTATGGCCATCACAAAGAGCAATTCTCAGACAAGAAGCAGGACATGGGGATGCCCAAGAAGACAGACTCCAGTGCTACCATGGACAGCAAGGATGAGGATCACTCTTCCAAATGTCAAGGTGATGGGGCCTGAGGAATAAAGGAATCTGGAGTAGAAGGAGGTACAGGGATTAGAAGACTAACCTAGATGTCCCCTTGCATATATCCTGCCCTCCCTCTCCACATGCACACCTAAGCTCTCCTCCAAGTACTGAGGAAAGGCATCTCTCCCCTCATCTTCTCACGTTGCCTTGTTCCCTAGATCCCTCCCACCCAGCACCCAGAAACAAGAGTTTTAGAAAGGAATCGGGTATCCAGTGGGGAGTTGGAATTTGGAAGGACAGAGAGGTGAAGAGAAACTCAGTGAATGAGACATGTAGACAAGGCCCTAAGGGCCAGCACCTCCCCGCAGTCCCGAGTCATTTCCCCAGAGTAGTGCCCAGCTGGCTGCTTCTTTCCACCCTATTCTCTTTCTAGATTGTATCCACCGCCTGGAACTCGTGGTGAGAAGAAAATTAGGGGAAGACTGGATCTTTTTGGTGCTTCTGGGACTACTTATGGCTCTGGTTAGCTGGAGCATGGATTACGTCAGTGCCAAAAGTCTTCAGGGTAGGTTTAACCTGGCCCTTTACCCTCAGCCTCTCCCCATGCTGCGGCTGTTTCTGGAGTTTCTCCGCAGGCTAAGCCAGGTGTGTTTGGGGAGGGGGATGTTGCACAGAGGTCAGGTGTGAATCTGGTCCAGGACAAGACCAGATCCACTTCTCCTACTTTTCCCACTTTCTTCCAGCCATGGTGTGGGTGACCTCTAATAGGGTGACCAATTCATCCCAGTTCTCCCAAGACTTTACCAGTTTTGGCAATGTACATCCTGAGTCCCAGGAGCCCCGGTTCTGGGCAAACCGGGGTGGTTGGTGACCCCACAGCCTTTGACGCCCCACCCGCAGCGCCAGCACTCGATTGTGGTTTGCAGCACTGCCACCGTCTCTACCTCCTACAAGTGATGGGAACTTGAACGGGGCGTGTCACCTCCCGCAACTCAGGTTCCCCACGTGTCAAATGCGAATAGTGGCATCTTGTGAGGTGAAACAGTGAGCACACTCCTTGCACGCTGTCCTGTGCTATGGGCGTGGGGGCGGTGGCGAGATTCCATCCACACTGGAATTGAGCTCAGGTGCGTGTCTCTGCAGCCTACAAGTGGACCTACTACCAGATGCAGCCCAGCCTGCCTCTCCAGTTCCTGGCCTGGGTCACCTTCCCACTTATTCTCATCCTCTTCAGCGCCCTCTTTTGCCACCTCATCTCCCCCCAGGCTGTTGGTGAGAACTTCCCCATGTATCCTACCCATGTCCTGTCATCAGCATGATCTCATTGGCCTGAAGACCTTTCCACCCCACATCCTCCCTCAGCAGCCCTGACACCTCTTCCACCTGCCTTGTCATGGTCCTCTGACCACAGCCCTCTTCATGCCCCCATCTTCATGTCCACTGTCTGGATGTTCATCTCCCTTTGAACCTCTAACTTGAACTTGCACATAATCATTTTTTAACCCCTTTAGGCTCTGGAATCCCTGAAATGAAGACAATTCTTCGTGGGGTTGTCCTGAAGGAATACCTCACCCTCAAGGCCTTCGTAGCCAAGGTTGTTGCCCTGACTGCGGGGCTGGGCAGTGGCATTCCTGTGGGGAAGGAGGTAGGTGCACCGTTACTGAGGTGTGAGCTAGACAGGCCGTCCAGCAGAGGGCAGCACCGAGTCTAGAGGGAGCTCTAGGAGCAGACGTGGACCACAGGCACAGGGACAGAGCCAGGGCCAAGGGGCATTAAGGAGGGGAAATACCTGGGAAGGTCCTCATCCTGAGGCAGAATGACAAAAACATCAGAGCTGGGAGTGCCTTAGTGCAGAGTCTCCCAACCTGGCCACTGCTGACATTTTGGGCTGAATAATTCTTACTAACGGGGGACCATCCTGTGTAGTGTAGGATGATTAGCAGCATCCCTGGCCTCTACCACTTAGCTGCTGGTAGCACCCCCAGTTGTGACAACCAGAGTGTCACCAGACATTGCCAAATGTCCCCTGGAGGGCAAATTCTCCCCCAGCTGAGGACCCTACCTTCGACCAATTCCCTTGTTTTTTGTTTTTTGGGTGTTTTTTTTTTGCCAAGGAAGATTTGCCCTGAGCTAATAGCCACTGCCACTCTTGCTCTTTTTGTATGTGAGCCACCGTCAAAGCATGGCCACTGACAGACAAGAGATGTATGTCCGCACCCGGAAATCAAACCCAGGCTGCCCAAGTGGAGTGTGCCGAACTTAACCACTAGGCCACCGGGGCTGGCCCAATTCCCTTGTTTTAATATGGGAGAACTGAGACCTAGAAAGAAGCTGTGCTCTGTTCAAGGCTATACTCATGCCCATTCTTGCCCCGCTACAGTTGCTGCAGTCCATACTCCACACAGCAGCCAGAGGCATCTTTTCAAAATGGAATCAGTAATGTCTGACCTCTGGACAAGAGCTTCTAATGGCTTTCCATTCTTCTTAAAGTGAAATCCAAGTTTCTCACTGGGGTCTAGAAGGCCTGTGGTGATCTGGCTCCTCTCTGTCCAGTCTTCTGTCCTCCCAGGCTGCCCCTCATTCACTGTCACTTTGGGTGACAAGGCCTTCTTCCTGTCCCTCAACCACGCAAGCTTGTCCCCCTCTCAGGGCTCCAGCACTTGCTGTTCCCTCAACCTGGAAAATTCTTCCTCCTGACACCCACATGGCTCACTCCCTCACTTCATTCAAGGCACCACACAGTTGTGACCTTCACTGAGCACCTTTCCTAGACACACCCCCACCCCACCCTCGTCTGTCCTGACTCTCTCTCTCCCCTTACCCTCCCTCACTCTCTTCACAGCCCTTAGCATCTTCTGAAGTGATAATATGCTGGTGCATCACCTCTTCCTCCCTGGGATGAAGTTTCCTAAGGGCAGAACCTCTCTCTCACTCACTTCTGTACTCCTGGTACCTAGTACAGTGCCTGGAGCAATCAATGTTCCTCCATCGAATGCCTCAAAGCCTCCCATGTGGGCCCCCTACTCCTGACCCCTCGCCCTCTTTCTCTCTCGCAGGGCCCTTTTGTCCACATCGCCAGCATTTGCGCTGCCGTCCTCAGCAAGTTTATGTCGGTGTTCTGTGGGGTATATGAGGTAAGGTTGAGAAAGTAAAATGAGGTAGGGCTGTGTGTGTCCAGGGTGTCGGAGGGCTGCCTTTGCTCGGGGCTGGCCGTGATGCTGAAATGGGGCATTGCGCTGCTCCACGCTCCCTCATCCTCCACACACATACCCCTACCACCCGCCTAGCCTAGCCACACGATGCCGCTGTTTAGCCTGTGCCGTCCCAGGACACACTGCCCTTCCTGGTCTGTGCACCCACCATGGTCCGCTCCTGCGCTGCCCCGGCTCTTCCATATGCCCCTTGTCTCAGTTCCCCTCCACATTGCCTTCTTGTGCTACCCCTGTCCTTTTGTCGTTCCTGCTCCTCCTACCCCTCCCCCGCCCCCGCCCCCCATCTCTCTTACGTAAGCACTGCCCCCTGCCCCACCCCCGCCCTCCTCGTTGCGCGTGCTTCTCTGTTGCAGACAGTGCCTGGGCGGCTTGATCTCCTGGTGTCGGCCTGCGCAGTGGGCGTGGGATGCTGCTTTGCGGCCCCTATCGGAGGCAAGTCCCACTTCCTCCCTACCCCGGTTGCCTGAGCATGACTTGGAAGGGGAGTTTGGGTGGCCGCCACAGCTTTGGGGTGGAGAGGGATGCTCGCTGAAGAAGCTGGTGGGTGAGCATTCAGGGAGTGACCCTGGATCGCAGCCGTCTCCAGGCACCCACACTGTTCTACGAAAGGGCTGTGTGTTCTTTCGAGGCTGGCGGCTGTTTGACGCAGGCTTTATTGGTACCATTTGTCTAAAGTCGTTTCCTGTCTCTCTTGCCCTGATTATCCCCATCTCCAGCCCCTCTCTGGTGACCATTTACTGGCTTACCTGCCTTCCATATATTTGCCTAACTTTTATTTCGTTTTCTATGTTTGCACTTGCGCTATAAGGTCACTTCCTGTTTGCCAAACTCACTGAGTTTCTCTTGGCCTGGGAATCGCTGGGGGAGACGGGACCACTATGATTCCCAGGGACTTAAGCCTCTCCTGCCTTACTTCCTACCCTTGCTTGTCCTCCTTTCCTCTCTCTGCCCCCTTCCCCACCCCTCCCGCCTCTGTCCTTGTCTGTCTCTCCCCTAGTAGCAGCCGTACTATTACACTGATATGCTGACGGTGGGCTGTGCTGTAGGAGTTGGCTGTTGTTTTGGGACACCACTTGGAGGCAAGTGATTCCCCCCTCCTACATTAATCCACTTGCCTGATCTTGTTCCCAAAACAGTTTTTGTCAGCATCCCCAAATGCAAGCATTACCAGTTAAAATGAGCATTACGAGAATAACTAAAGTTTAGTGAGCATTTACTATGTGTAGGCAATGTTCTAAGCACTTTACATTCATTCCCACCAAAAACTGTATGAGACTGATATGGTAGAGGAGAGAGAGAAGGAAACTGGTGACAGAGAGGACAAGTGACCTGAGCAAGGTCATTCTGTTATCAAGTATAGAGCCAGGAATGAAAACTGAGGCAGCCTCTATAGTTCCCCTACTTATGTTAAAATCTTTTTGTGTTGTTGGTTTTTTTTGCCTTCCACTTGTATCTTCTAACATGGGACTCTGCACTTTTTTCTCCAAGGGAAAACCTACATTTTGTTGTATGGTATTAAGGACACGGGGGTTTGGGTGGACCTTATTCAGATTAGTGGTCAGTTTTAAACAAGGACCACTGGTGGAAGTGAAAGGATCATTGTTCCTGGACAGCAATTTAAAGTTGAGTTTGGCTCTTTCTACACATGTAAGGCATAGAGTGACCTTTCCAATTATTTTCCTTGTCCTGGGTGACTAACAAATGGGCATGGTCAGGGAAAGCAATTGCATCTGTTTATTCACTCATTGATATTAGTTGACGAGTAAAGGGGGTTAACAGAGCAGGGGCTGTATGGATCATTCACGGTGATAAAAAGGACACCAAGTTGACAATTAGAGAAACAAAATTTCAGAAAAAACATATGCTTCTTAAATGCACCAGCTGTTAGATGTATCTTTTCAATTATGAAAGTGTAATCAGTTCTTTCGTAGAGGAGTCTTCAGGTAGCTAAGATGGCCTGACTCAGGAATGATACATGGATGAGCGTTTAGAGTTCATGAAAAGGTATCATGCTCCTTGTACCAACGCTGTGCCAATGCCTCAGCATGTGGAGATCAGATGAGCAGACGTGTCAGCTCGCAGCCTGTGTGCACTTCTGCTGTCAGCTCTTGTCATTAAAGTCATTAGTCCTCATCAGAGAAGGGTAGTGTGTTTCAACTTCTGCACACATTAAATGTTCACACTTACATTTATACCCACTTTCGCCTTTATTTACTCTTTCACCTTACAAATCCAGAAGGTCTGAAGAATATTTTTCAGCAGGTAGAATTTTTTTGCTTTTGTTTTTAATCAGCTAGATCCGTCTAAAGCGAAGAGAATCTGCATTTCCAGCATAAAGCTGGAATTTCTGGGATGAATGAGGAAGGTTCTTTCTTGGTCCTGTGTAGAGTATGGGAAAGACCATAGGCAAGTTACAAATAAAACATGGCTCTTGACACAAGAAAACATTAACCCTGGAAAAGTTAAGATGCCATTTTCAGGATGTCTGTATTAAGTGGCAAATAATAAATGTCCTGATAGGTAGCATTACTTGATGTTTTAATGAACATAGAATAATTCTGGAAGAAAAAATAAGTATTAAGATAACTTATTCACTAGATAGTCAGCTCTTATTTCCCTACATCAATAAAAGAAGTTTCCTTCAACATTCTACTAAAATGACAAACATCTTTTTGCTTCTGTGATGTGCCCTCCATGCTGTGGGATTATAATTACAGCAGATCAGAACTGCTGGAGGATCCAGGGGAAGGAATGATAGGAAGTGAGTCTGGACAGGTAAATGGGGGCTGAATCATGAAGGACCTCGTAGGCCATGTACAAGAATGTAGATTTGATTCTCTAGGCTAGAATTTGCCCAAATGTGTTTTACAGAGTACTGTTCTTCATGGCATTACTAGATGTAAGGTAAAAAGGGTTCCAGCTCAAATAAGTTGGAAAATGTTGTGCTGAACAGACAGTTTTTTAAACTGGAAAAGTTGTCAGAATGTTTGATATGCTGACATGCATTGTGAATATCCAAAATGTGGCTCAAATGCAGCCTTTCCCACAGAATTCATTTTGCACACACATTCCTATAGGCCTAACTTCGGGAAATGCTGTCGTGGGTGAAGGGGAGCTCTGGAAGAATTTTGAGCAAAGGAATGACGTGGCCAGCTTTGGCAGATGTCTGCAGGATAGATCTGGCCCGTGGATTAACAGATTAATCCAAGATTCACAAGAAGACTATTGTCATAGGCCTGCTGCTAGATGATGAGAGACCGAACTAGGCAGAGGCAGGAGAGATAGAAAAGAGGATGATACATATGAGCAATAGAAAGTAAAATTGATGCAAGCTAATGGCTGATTTTATATGAGGATGTGAAGGATAAGAGAAAAGAAGGAATCTAGGTCAACTCCCAAGTTTATAACAAGGAAAATTGGGTGGATAATGATGCTAGTAAGCAAGATAGGGAATACAGGAAGTGAAACAAGTCTAGGGGAGTAGATACATTTCACTTTGAATATGTTGAGTTTGGGGTTCCTGTGGCACATCCAAGTGATATGCAGCTAGGCTGGTGAGTCTGAAGTTCAGGAACTGAGTTGAGAACATAGCTTTGCTAACCAGTAGCTTGTAGTGGTAGTTGAAGCCAGTTGAAGCCAGTTGAAGCCATGGGCGTGAATGAAATGGAGAGAGAAAGTGTGTCTGTGAGTGGCTAGAGTAGGAGACCAAGGTCAGGGACCTGGGTGGGGCAGGGGCCTGAGGAGAAGATGAGAACGTTCAGGAATGACAGGAGAGGAACATTACAGAATCTGAGAGAAAAGAGGGTTTCCAAAAGCTGTTTGTGTTCTTAATGCTTTGTTTCCTTTTAGCAGCACACTTTCTGTTTGGCTCAGGCTAATATTAAAATTAGTTCTCCTTCCTGAGTATACAGTGACAGACTGTTAGGGAAAGTGTCTCAGAACCACATCGTGGGAAAGAAAATCTAGCCTAGGATTTCAAAAAATGGTTGTGAAATATTCATAAGTTGGATAGTTTACACCCTAACAAATCAAAGCCAACTTTGGTCTTGTTACTGGTAAAGAAAAGGAGAGAGACTTGCTCTACCTGATTCCCCACTGTGTCAAATCCTCCTTTTAGGCAAGGAGGCAGCTTCCTTACCTGATGTGATTTGAGGAGCAGGGGCGAAGGGGTGGTTGGTAAAGCTCTGTCTGCCCCAGATTCCCCATTCCCTCGTTCCGTTTTCTGAAATTCCACCCATTCTATTCTCTTCTGTTCTCTTTCTTCCCTTCCCTCTCCTCTCCTGTTCATCCTTAGAACAGGCATTGGGCGCTGATCATGTACTAGGCACTGTATTAGGTGTTGGGTTCCAAGGAATTTTCAATCCTAGGGGGAGCTCAGATGTAAACTAATAACTACAGCTGAAAGTGCTAAGTGCTCTGATAGTCCCAAATTCTGAGAGAACAAGGTGAGGGAGGTACTGTTTCTACCTGAGGAGGGGGATTGGGGATGGCTTCCCAGGAATGGTGACACTTGAGCTGACCACTAGGAATCCTCTGCCAAAATGCTACAGCTACTCCATTAGGGAGTAACCTGGAGGTCACCCTCCCCTTGACTCAAATGACTTAGTGTAACTATTGCCTGTCACCTGTGGAAGAGAGGGTGGGAGTCCCAAGGGATTCAAGAGATGTGATTTTGAATATAGAATAGGGAAGAGAAAATGCTTAGTATTTGCCACCTGAAGAGGGAAGCAGGTGGGAGTTCTTCGCCAGGCCAGCAGCCGTTCGCTGTGCAGAGCAAGGAGAAGACGAACTTTACTAGTTCCTGGTCTTTCTTGGGGCCGCACCCCTTCTCCATTCATCTAATTATGGGCTGTATTTCCCTGGTTTCCCATTCTCTTTAGCTTAGCTAGGTTTGGGTAATCTTGTCATCAATTTTTTACTTTGCATCTAATCAAAGTCCACTCCCTTGCTCTAAATATGTTCAAAGATTTTTTCGTCTAATCTCAACTCTCTTCTGTGCCCTCATTAGCATCCCCACCAACCCTTGCTGTTTTTCTGGATGTCTGCCTCCTCATTTTCTGCTCCAGCATCTACTCTCAGAAACAGTGCTACTTGGGACAATTAATTAGCTTTCCTTCGACCTCACCTGCCTTTCTGAAGAATAATTGTCTTTAACTTCTTCCAGTCTCTTGGTTTTCCCCTTGCTTTGGTCCTTTTAAGTGACATTTTTAATAGCAATTTTTTAAAAGTTTGGATGAATCCTCTATTTTCTTTTCTTGGAATATTGAGTAGTGTCAGCTCTTTTTTTACTCTTTCACCTTACAAATCCAAAGTCCTTTCCTGTTCCTTTTGCTTATTTCTTCCTCATCAAGTTGCCCTAGGGTACACGGTGCATGGGAGAAGGGAGGGAAGATTGGAGGGGTGTTAAGGAGGGTCCCTGTAAATCCTGGGCTCTGCTTGGCAGCTCTGTTGAGCACCTGCTCTGGAAGCTTTCTCTCTCAGAACTTTTCTGCAGAAATTTTTCAATGACCTTTAAATACCTGTTCATATCCGATAGATGTGAATCCTGCCCAACCCTGTTTTCTAAGGGGGAGTGGGTGGAGAGGGCAGAACTGCCTGATCCTGACGTTCTGTGGGTTGAGGTCCCTCGTTTCCCATCCTCTCTGTATCTTGTTGAACCGCATCCCAGCGTGAGCAGGTATATCGTTTAGAGCTTGAGACTCCAAGAGATCTTTGCTTCCCACTACTGCTTCCCCTCACGATTCAAGTTTCAGGAAGAGGTCCGCAGGGTGGGAGTGTGGGAGAGAGCCTTTCACTCTGTCTGCACCTGACCTGTCTTCCATGTCCCCATAGGAGTGCTATTTAGCATCGAGGTCACCTCCACCTACTTTGCCGTGCGGAACTACTGGCGAGGCTTCTTTGCAGCCACATTCAGTGCCTTTGTTTTCCGCGTGCTAGCGGTGTGGAACAAGGATGCTGGTAACAGGGGAGCCTTGGGCTGGAGGCAGTGTGAAATAGGGAGGCTGATAATGGGGCATGGAGGGAAGCTCTGTGGGGCAGTGCAGAAAAGGAATGGATGGCATTATTTGGGAAGTGGAACCAAGGCCCAAGGGTATAGGATAAAAATAAGGTCGTGGAGCAGACGAGTAATGGTTGTGCTTAGAAAAAGGAAATTAAATAGGAGACATTGGGGTTGGAGCAAGGAAGGAATTAATCCTTAAAACTGATGACTTCTGGTTCCCTCTCTGTGGGTCTCTGTGATGCTCCCACCATGATCTTTGACCTTTCCATCCTATAGTCACCATCACTGCTCTCTTCAGAACCAATTTCCGAATGGATTTCCCCTTTGACCTGCAGGAACTTCCAGCCTTTGCCATCATCGGGTCAGTAGGGTCACCTGCTCTGGGAGTGGTGAGCTGGGGCTGGGGTGTGGCTTTGGCTTGGAAGGGACCCAAGCTGGGCAGAAGGTGTGGCGGGCCTAGACAAAGTGTAAACTGTTGTGGGGAGGTGGGTAGAGAGGGAGAGTAGATGCCTGGTATTTGTTTCCCTCAGTGGCTAGATCCAAGGGATGAGGATTTCATTTCTTTATAACTTGTACCCTCAGGATTTGCTGTGGGTTCCTGGGAGCTGCATTTGTGTATGTGCATCGCCAAGTCATGCTCGGTGTCCGAAAGCACAAGGCCCTCAGCCAGTTTCTTGCAAAGCAGTGAGTCACCGACCTTCCTTTGCCCTACCCATTCACTTTTTTCAAGAGTTCCTCCCTTTTAATCTTTGTGGAAGGCATTGAATGCCTTTAGGTAGCCTGTGATAAAATATAGAAGCCCTGATACTATATGTAGGAGGTGAGCAGTGTGGTTTCCCCTTCAAAGATTGCTTTTTGGTGGACAGAATGCTCTGTATTTGAAGAACTGAGACTACAGGAAACTTAAGTTTGCAGGAGTTCAGTGTGGTGTCCACTGGGGTTTGGCTAACTTAGGGGGAGGATTAATTCTTTTCTTTTTCAGCCTCCTGCTGTATCCTGGAATCGTTACCTTTGTCATCGCCTCATTCACCTTTCCACCAGGAATGGGTCAATTCATGGCTGGAGAGGTCAGCTCCAAGGGAGTCAGAGGGTGGGTCAGGTCACTGAGCCAGGACTGGGCCACATGGAAAAGAGGAAACAGCACAGTTGTCCTTCAGGCTTCTGAACAAGTGTACTCTTGCCCAAGGGTAGAATCTCTCTCAGAAAAGAGCAAAAGGGACCCTTGAAAAATGAGATGGGGAATCAGTTCTCTATAAAAAGGAAGTACTGAACATCCCTGGAGAACTGCCGCCTTTCGCTTCCTCTTCTCACAGTTGATGCCTCGTGAAGCCATCAGTACCCTGTTTGACAACAATACGTGGGTAAAACATGTAGGTGACCCTGAAAGCCTGGGCCAGTCAGCTGTGTGGATCCACCCACGGGTCAACGTTGTCATCATCATCTTCCTCTTCTTTGTCATGAAGGTACCTACTCTACACTCTTGACCCCTAAGCGTCTATCTATTTTCAACCCAGGAACTCAGGGTTTGCCTAGGGTAGGAAAGGGTGTAACTTTATCTAATCTTCATCCAACCTAAAAAGAAATAGCTTGGAGACCACAGCCTAGATAAGTTGCTCCTCTATAGAAATGAACCAATATCTAGGCTAATTGTTCCATTCATGTCGACTTAGTGATGTTGCCGTAATTATTATATCCCATCTAATGGTTCCACTTGCTAAATTATTGAGACATCATAGCAGCCAAGTAAACAGGAATAAGATAGAGTTTATCAATATAGATAACTGCGTAAAAACCTCCGAGAAATTAACCAAATCCCCCCATATATTAGATAATTAGGTACTTCCTTCTCCATGTATCTGATTATCCATTTTTAGATGATTTGCATATCCATTTCTTTTCCAGCCTAGTGGGTAATCTCTTTTCTAGACTTGCAAAAGAGATAAAATATTTAAATCAATTTTATTAGCGACTATAAGTAATTTTTATAAATGTTATTATTCTCCGTTTAGGTGGTGAGGCTGGGAGGATTTTGCCATTCGCAAACCACTTTTTTCTAACTGCAATTAGGAAACAAAAGCTGATCTTTCTTACGTCAGTTCTTTTTCATATCCGCCTGTCAAGAATCGTGTATTTATAGACTTCTCAATTACTGCCTTGTACAAAGATATTTTAACTTCCACCCCTGGTTATGACATCTATTACAGTTACTGATTGCTTTTTTTTTCTTTTTTGATGATTGCCTTATCACTAATAGTATGCCTCACCTGAATAGTCCAACATTTTCCTCTGAATATTAGGGCTTTCATTTAAAAGTCTGTCCACACTGAACTTTCACGCTTCTGAATATCTTACTATTAACTTATTCATGATACTTTGTAAGAATCTGTATTTCCCCAGGATATGAGTCACTAAGTTATATTTATTTTGTAATAGCTGAAGTGGGTTCATTTATTCATTTATTCAGGAAATGTTATTATGCACTTACTATGCATCAAATATATAATATACTTGATTGCTGATCTTTGGCTAATTGTATGCTTATGTTGAAAAAAATTATTGTGAAATTTCCTTCTTTGTTTTTTGCTACTCATTTAATGTACTTGTCAATGATCTTAGGATTAGAGATACCAGGTGTTTGACACACCAGGTTCCAACCCTGTAAGTTATATTCTCGAGATTTGCTGTGGGTTTCTGGAAGTTGTATATCTGTATGTTCTTTCCCATTCCACTCCAGGTGGCTTCAGTGGGTCTATAGCTTCCGTATTTTGCACACTCACTTTGTTAATTAGATCCTTTTTTATTTCTTCCTTCAAAATATTTGATATTTTTATCATAAGGAAGTTGTCGTTGTCTTGTTAGAGATTTGATTGTTTGAACTTTCATTATAGAGTTGATCTTCTCTGATTCATAAATCCCAACTGCTTGTAACTGGTTGTTGAGTGTACAAACCCATCTGTAGTAACCGAGCCCAAGTTCTGATGGCATCTCAGAATTTATTCTTCAGTGATAATAACTGTGTTTTTCTGATATTCCTCTAGGCTGAGCTATATGGTAATTTTGAGCTCATATATGCTTTAACATATCAAGCTTTTGAAAATTTTTGGAGAAACAAAACACTGTATATTTTTCAACATTTCCCCCATACCTCACCTCACCTCCCTGGCTTCTCAAGTATATATCTGGGTTCCACTTCACAGATTAAAGTTTATTCTGAGAAGCCTGCCTGGGTTATATAGAAGGACTCAGCTGCTTGTCACTGTTATTAATTTCTTGCTGAATTACATCTTTGATAATGTTTACATCGTAAGCAAATCAGGAAAAGGAACTCACCCACTTCCTGGGCTATAGTTCAAGCCCAGGAGTTTGCAGCAGGCCTATAAATTTATAAACATACAACCATTCACTGCTATAAATCCATGGTATTACTTAGTTATTGCTGCTTCCAGCATTTTTGCTCTCCTATCGCTGGACACATAAGCATACCCTTATTATTTCCAAAGTGTGGGCAATAGGCCACATAACCAAATCAAAATATAAAAGTGACTACAACTATTTTTCCACAGTCTGTCTTGGAATTTAGCGTATGTGGTCTTCTGGAAGTTTCAGTACAGGCAAATAAGATTCTCAGTTCAGCTTTTTTATAATATTCATAAAGGGAACTTCCTTCTTCCTCAATCTTAAGACATGGAAAATATCATCATGTTGTAAGTCAGGAGCTTTTACAATGAGTGTGAATATAATCCCAACTTCTCAGTTTCCCTTTTAGTAGGTCTGTCATTACCTACTATCAATGAGTTCTCCACACAGCCTGAGGGTCTGTAGAATTCTTTTTCCCTCATCTTCATATCGCTCTTTCTGGTAAAGAGTCTAACAAAAATGGAATCTGTGATAATGGGTCCCTAGTTTCCCAGTTTTCTAGAGTTGGGTGTTTAAAATCTTGGAGTTATTTGTGTCCCACATCACTTACATTACTTCTGGATCTTTCCTTTCGTGTGCTAACAGCTCAAAAAGTTTGCTAGGACCAGCCCTGGGAGCCAGGTGGTTAAGTTCAGGGCGCTCCACTTCGGCGGCCCAGGTTGAGTTCCCAGGCGTGGACCTACACCAGTCATCTGTCAGTAGCCATGCTGTGGTGGCATCTCACATACAAAATTGAGGAAGATTGGCAACAGATGTTAGCTCAGGGTGAATCTTCCTCAGGAAAAAAAAAAAAAATTTCCTAATCTCATGTGTCATTCTTTGTGCTATAGGACTGGATAACTTGAATGCCCTCTGATCGTGATCTGTTCTTCCATGTATCTTAGAGAATAATCTAAAGTTCATCCTCTGAAATCAGACCTAAGGTCACCTATTATCTGTATTACCAGAGCTTTCAGATTAACCTGAGCCTACAAAATCCCTTATGGCTTTCGTGTACTTATTCCAAAGAGATGGTACAGAATAGTTCAAGAGGTCTCAAACTGTTGTATGTCAGAATCACTTAAGAAGCTCAAAGTACAAGAGCCTAGAACTCTGTCTCCAGACAGTCTGGTGTGGTAGCCTCCTATATATGGTCATCTGCAGTTTATACGAGTCCCCCGTGAGCATTACTGTTAGGTGTTTTAGCAAATATTAGCTCTGAGAAGCTTTTTCTGCTTTGCATGAATACTATTTGACCAAGCTCTCTTCTTTCCTTCCTTCCTTCCTACATCCTGCCTACATTTACTGGGCATTGTGCTGGTGCAGAGAGAAGGCAGAAATAACAAGATACACTCTTGTTATACATTCAAGGAATTCTCAGTCTATATTCTTTTCATTGGTACATTTAGCTTTGTGGTTCTCAACCAGTTTAAACGGTCATATTCTGACATGCAGAAGTATGTGTTCTTGTGGCATGAAGCCTTCTCACAGCCCCTGCCACTGCCTCTTGAGGTCAGCCCTAGCTCAAAGGAATTCTTTCTAAGGCTCAGGAAATTAAGAAATTTATTTCTGATTAGTTTATGATGCAATTGTTACAGTTTTTTAATTGCACATATTGTGATCCTGGCAATTTGTTCTGAACTTTAGCTGCTGCCATCCTTCACCAAATTAATTTGAGATCCTTTTCTAGGATTGGCTTACTTATTTTGGAAGTGATGTGTAAATATGTTACTTAATTTATATATTATGTCTTCTATTTTTGTTTCTTTTACAGACATTTCAAAAGTTCAACCACTACTCCTTTTTCCATTCTATTTCTTAATTCTTCTGCATTCTTTTTTTTTTAAAAGATTTTATTTTTCCTTCTCCCCAAAGCCCCCCGGTACATAGTTGTGTATTTTTAGTTGTGGGTCCTTCTAGTTGTGGCATGTGGGATGCTGCCTCGGCATGGTCTGACAAGCAGTGCCATGTCCGCGCCCAGGATCCGAACCAGCCAAACACTGAGCCGCTGAAGCAGAGGGTGCAAACTTAACCACTGGGCCACGGGGCCGGCCCCTCTTCTGCATTCTTTGTCACAGAATATACATACTGCTTTTGCCTAAAATTGTCCCAATTTCTGTAGGTATACTGCCTGATAAAGTTGGCCTTGGAGATCCTTTCTATTCATTGGCTGACTTATCTGGCATTCTCAGTTTGCCCTTGCAATATGACCAGGACAGATCTGATTTTTCAGTCCTTCGTTTAAGGTGATTTGATGTCAAATGAAATGGTTCAGACAGGACAGTCTTCACTCTGGGTTCCCTTGTGAGGCTCGCCATACAGTGGCTTTGTAAATGACCATATTGAAGCTAAATTAGTCACAGTAAGTCACTAAGGCTTTAAGATGGCTGCCACGGAGAACAAGGGCTCTTTTTCAGAAGCATAGTTTGACCAGGGAAAGGTATCCTCCAGCTTCAAGAGTTTCAGGCTGCTCTGCTGAGGTGAACTCTTTGGGTGAAGAGGGTACAGTGGTCTAGGGCCCTTTTGGGGCAGTGACATAGGGATCCTCTAGGCTCCTCTCCTTGTTCTGGATTGCCTAAGGGCAAATAGAGTGACTCCAAGTAAGAGGGTTTTGGAGGAGCTTTCTTGTAGTGTTGTCTTTGGTGATCTCTTAGCTTGAGAGCTCCATGGTTTTTGGATCTGGAGGAAGGGTGACAGACAATATGGCTTGCAGAAGGATTAACTAGCCCAGGATTTCTGGGACTCTTGAAGCAAGAAGGACGAGAACAGTGGGAAGGAGGTTGAGCGTGTGTGTGTGTGTGTGTGTGTGTGTGTTGAGTAGGTGTCCTGATACCTCTTTTTACCCCAGTTCTGGATGTCCATCGTGGCCACCACTATGCCCATACCCTGCGGAGGCTTCATGCCTGTGTTTGTGCTAGGTAAGTTCTTATGGGAAGCCTGGGATCTTACTGACAGCTGCAATCTAGGGTACTGGGAAAATAAGGGAAGGGCTGGGGATGCTGGGGACTTGTATTTGGTCTTAGTACCCAAGGAGAGATTGGCTTTGAAAATATGGAGGATAAAGAACTTGGATCTCTCAATTCCTTCTTTTTTTCCTCTAGGAGCTGCATTTGGAAGGCTGGTAGGAGAGATCATGGCCATGCTATTCCCTGATGGCATCTTGTTTGATGGCATCATCTACAAGATCCTACCTGGGGGCTATGCAGTAATTGGTGAGACACATTCTATGCTCCTGTAACCAAATATTGAGCACCTCAAATCTCCACAGTCAGACTCTCCCATGACATCTTCATTCCAGCCTACACAGTATGGTTTTAATTTAATGTTATTTAATTCAACTTTTATTCAAATGATCAACCCTGGGCTCTGACTCTCGTTAGCTCTTATGAACTTCTTTGAGCCTTAATTTCTTCATGTAGTAAAAGGATTATGGGAATTAAGTGAGATAATAAGGATGAAAACACCTAGGATTGTGTCTGGATGTTTGTTAAGGGCTTTTTCTTTCCTTTCAAAGAATCATGGAAACAACACTGCAGGTGACTGGCTTGAATACTCCCAACCTTCAGGTGTGCTAATATTGATGAGCCTTAAGAGCACATGACTAAGAGCTAAGAAACATGGGCTCTGGACTCATCCCTGCCACTTGTCACCTGGATGACCATGGAGCAAGTTAGCTGCCTTTCTGAGCCATTCTAAAATGACTTCTGAGATATCTTACAGCTCTCACTTTCTGAAAGTCTATGATAATCTTTTTTGCCTTAAATCTATTTTCCCATCTGACTAAAAACTGTGTCTAACACAGTGACCAACATAATCCCCAGAATTATTATGCCTCTTCCCCTCCTCCCTTCTTCACCAAAATCCATAACATCTAAGGCCGTGCTTCCTTGGATATAGAAGCACTAACCAGCCTCATAGCACATATGGTGACCTTACTCCCCCATCATAGTCCTTTAGAAGAGGTTCTTTCTTTAGTAGGAGTCTGCTCATATTCTCCATCTTCATGCCTCTTGGGTATCCCTTCATCCTCCCTGATGGAGATATACATATCGCCTGTGATAGTTTATGTCCTGAGGTATATTGTGTGCACCATCCAGTAGAACCATCCCTCCCCACACTTCCCTTTTGTGACCTTTTCTTCTTCAATTTTCCTGTACGCCTTCCCAGCATCTTTTCTCATAGAATATCTCTCCCATATTTAAATATGAAGTATAGTTAATGGACAAGGGACTACTTTGGCTGATGGGAAAACATAACCAAAAACAAGTAAGATACAGTCTATCTTCAAAGAGCTTATATAATCATAATGTTTTAGATCTGCAAGGGCCTTAGAACTCATTTAATGACCCCTTTCACCTTACAGATGAGAGCATGGGATTCCAAAAGAATTAAGTTCAACTCAAAAAGTTGAGAAATAGTAGATTCAGGATCTGATGCAGGTCTCATTGCTCCAAGAACACAGCATTATTTTTGGGTTTTCACACCATTCACTCATAAATTATTGGCATCAAAACCTAAGGTCCAAAGTAAAATGCCATAACTGGATTTCCAAATGCTCAGTTAAGAATGATCCAAACTTTCAAAAGCAAGGAATAGATAGGACATCACTATCTTTGTTTTATAAATGAAAATTTTGGCACACACAAAGATTTTGTGACTTAACCAAAGGTCATAGATGAGATCAAAATGATTTTCTAACAGTTCAGGATTCTAGCCCCTACTTTTGATGAATGGTTATCTCAGGAGTGTTGGCACTAACCAGGATCATGACTCCCCATTCAATGTCACTCCTGTCACATCCCCACGTGCCCTCCATGCCAAGAATGGTAGGCCTAACCCACCAGTACATTCCTGTGTTTCATTCTAGGAGCAGCAGCACTGACTGGCGCAGTGTCCCACACAGTCTCCACCGCTGTGATTTGCTTCGAATTAACTGGTCAGATTGCTCACATCCTACCCATGATGGTGGCTGTTATCTTGGCCAATATGGTGGCTCAGAGCTTGCAGCCCTCCCTCTATGACAGCATCATCCAGGTCAAGAAGCTACCCTACTTGCCTGACCTTGGTTGGAACCAGCTCAGGTCAGGGGCACCAGCTGGGATTAGTTGAAACTTGATGGGGTGGAGGTTGGAAGTTCTGAGATTGAGATTGAGGTTAGGGTCAATGTTTGGAAGCAACTGCTTTTTATTTACTTTTATATTCCTATGTACTTAATAAATACTTGGAGTGATCAAATGCATGGCAAACCTCATGGGAGGAAGGGAAGGGACAGCAAAGGGACAGGCATGTATGATGGGGCTAACCCATCATGCTTTCTTCCTCCATAGCAAATTTACAATCTTTGTTGAGGACATCATGGTACGTGATGTGAAGTTCGTTTCAGCTTCTTGCACATATGGGGAGTTGAAAACTCTGCTCCAGACCACCACAGTCAAGACTTTACCACTGGTTGATTCAAAAGGTCAGTGAGAAGGAAGGAAGCAGACTCCTGACCTAGTGACCTGAACAAGAGTTCCATAGAGGTGGAGGAGGCACTGTGGTGTGGGTTCATCTCTAGGGGGTATCCAGTCTGCTACAGGAGCCCCAGCCTGTGCTCCTTAGGGAACGGGATCATCCTTGAGGAAGGGAAAATACACCTATAATACAAGCACAAGAAGACAGTTAAAATCCAACTAAAGAAACACAGTCAATCCTAATTATTCGTCATAGTTATGTTCTATAAAGTTGCCACAAACACTGAATTAAGGATACTGTACTGAACTGTTGCTCCTAGGGGAAAAACAGTTAGGTTCCTCTGGTCACAATATTTTCTTCAACTAATCATTGCATAACCTTGTTTTATTTGTGTTTCTCATTAAAGACACCTTATTTAATATATATTTTTGATTCTCTAACAGTGAACTCATGGCCAACAGCACTATAACTCACACCTGAACCGATCTTATCTAGTACACGTATTTTCTCCATAAGGCACGTCACAGCCTTTTTGCTTGGGGGCAATTTTAACAGCAAAATCACCAACACAAAACACAAAAATTCAAAAAACATGACATTAAATGGACCATGAAAAGAACACTTGTTTACGATATCAGAGGTGAAACAAGAAGGCAGATCATTGTCTTGTTCAACCTCAGTTGAGAATGCGTGCATGGGGCCACTCAAATTTTTTGCTGCTCTGCGCATGTCTGTGAATGACAGTGAAAGCACCGCAAGTACTATTGATTTTGGGTTACAAACATATTTTAGCCAATAGGTGGATTCGAAAATAGGGAATTCGCGAATAATGAGACTCAGCTGTAAATCTTATAATGCTGTACGTGGTTTTCTCTGCTACGCAGCAAGATCCTACCTGTTCTTTAATGCCCAACTTAAGGAGGAGATGGACAGTTTTATGAAGGAGTGAATGGTTTTAGTAAGCATTGACTTCGCATTTCACTTCCTTCACTATCTGTCTACCCACCTTTGGCACTTAATCCTGCTTTGCATTATTTCTTATTGTGGTTTATATATATCCATGTCTTATCTTCCTCACTAAATTGGATATTCCTTGAGGGTAGAGACTATAACTTCTATCTCCCTCAGACTGCCTCCTTATAGGTATTTACTAGATATTAAATAAATATGAATACTTGCCCAATGTTTGAATTACTGCAATAGAGAAGAAGCATATAGGGCCATTTGGAGCAGTTAAAATTGTTAGTTCTGATTTCAGATAATCAGAGCATCCAAATGGCTCAAGTAAGATTAGTCCTAATATTTTCCCAAATCCCAAATACCTTCCAAGTGGCCTCTAAAGCAGTGGCTCTTCAGTGGAACAGGGGTAGAGCCAATGAGGTGCAGGGTTTTCATAATAATGACCAAGCCCTGGTGATTAGATTTATCTCAATAACACTGCTGCAATTTTATGGCCTTAAAACTTAAGAAAATGTTCACTATAGTAGCAGAATTTTGGCAAACACATAAAAGACCTTCCCAGAAAAAGCAGACATTTTAATATCCTAAAAGGACCCAGATTCTTTAAGTGATTAAACATCAGGTGTCCTTGTAGACTTCTTTCAAAGTATGTTCACATCTCAGCCTATTTAAATGGCTTTTAATTTTCTTTTTTGGGGGGACAGTGTTGATTAGCCTACTTTAATACCAAGTTCACCTATTTGCAAATGGGTGAAATAAAAGGGATTGAGTGAGGTCAATCCTGGAAGGTTTTTGAAATGAGTTTTTAGGAAGAGAGGATAACAGCTGAGAAAAGAAATGGGGGCACTGGGCTTCTGTCTCTGACTCCATCCTGCTGAGTTGGCCAGAGGGGTGGGGATTGAGCAGACCCGCAGGCTGAGCTTGGCTCTCCCCCAGATTCAATGATCCTGCTGGGCTCTGTGGAGCGGTCAGAACTGCAGTCCCTCCTGCAGCGCCACCTGTGTCCTGAGCGGAGGTTGCGGGCAGCCCAGGACATGGCAAGGAAGCTGTCGGAGCTGCCTTATGATGGGAAGGCGCGGCAGACCCGGGGTGGGCATCGCAGCATCTCATCCCAGGGCCGACCTGAGTCCTTTGCCTTTGTGGATGAGGATGAAGATGAGGACCTCTCTGGGAAGCCCGAGGTGACGGGGCTGGGAAGGGCTGGGGGAATGGGATAGATAGGGGCAAGGAGAAAGTCGGAAGAGGGAGGGGAGATGCTGATCACTGAGCAAGTCCCTGGGTCCAGGGACTGAAGGAAATAAGGTTGTGGATGATGGTGCCGATGAGAATTGAAAAGCTTACAGGAATTCTGAACTGGGGAGGAAGAATAGAATTAGATAGATTTCCGAGGACGCTAGCTGGTAAAGGCAGGGAAGCACTAGGCAGCCTCTTATCCAGGACTGAGAATTTTTACTATTCCTTACAGGTGCCTCCTCTTCCTCCTCCTCACCCCTTTCCTACTGCTCCGTTGGCCTCGGAAGAGCCCAATGGGCCCCTGCCCAGCCACAGACAGCAGCCAGAAGCGCCAGAGCCTGCAGGTGAAGATTCTCCCATCATGCACCCTCACTCATGACTTGTGGGTTATCTCTGGGCTCTCGTCAACCTAAGGGCTACTACTATAAGGAGGGGTGAGGCCAGGGGATGGTGGGAGGGGGTTCCTATTTGTTTAGTCTCCATATTACTGTCCCAAGAAGTGAAGGCAAGGGCTGATTTAGGAGGGTAGAAGAGAGGGTGTCCATGGAGGTGAGGCACCTAGGAAGTAGAGTCCTTGTGCAGCAAAGTGTCCAGGACCACTCGGGAGTCCCTGGTCATTTCCCTCCAGGACAGATATGGCTTTCTTTCCATTTCCATCTGCTCACCAATCCTCTCAGGTCCAAGACCCTCCATCTTTCAATCTCTGCTGCACTGTTTGCTGGGCAGAGCTCGCCCCAAAAAGAAGAAAACAACCCAGGTGAGAGGAGATGTGTTGGAAGGGGTGGTGTGGGGGAAAGGGAGCTTGTCTTGGAGGAGTGAGAAACCCATGGTCCTTACATCAAGAGGGAGGAGTTCCTGTCAAGGAGAAGTTTTACCATATGGAAGGGATGATGAGCTGGAAAGGAGGCATCTGTGGCCCTGACCGGGGGTAGATGGTTAATGGCTAATGGCACCATAGCTTCCATAGGAAGAAAAGGGAAAGAACTTGGACCTATGTCTTTCTTCTCTAGGATTCAACGGATTTAGTGGATAACATGTCACCTGAAGAGGTAAGTGAGAGAAACAGCAACTGGGGGTGGATTGTTCTGTCAAATGAAGACATTGCTCATTTTTTTCTACCTTCTTCATTGCGTTGTTTTAAGACTAAGATGCGAGTCTAGGCAGGAAAGCATTTTGAGAGATTGGAAATGAGGTATGACTACGGAGAGAGTGATGGGCACATTGCTCAGAGGTGGGGGAAACACGAGGGTGTTGTCTGAGGGGACCACGGTCATTTCAGAAAAGGAAAGTTTTGAGCCTCCATGCGTAGAGGGGACCATGGTGCTAAGATGAACCTTAGATCTTTTAGACATTAGGAATGTTCTGGACCAGGCAGAGGATATGCAGGAAGGAGGAGCTTTACCTGCAGTAAAATGGCACCAGGTGGCCAGCACTCGCATGGACCAATGTGGAAGAACAGCGTCGAGACTAAAATGGGGAAATCAGCGCCTGGTGCGGGTTACTATGCTGATCGACCAGGCCCTGACACAGTGGACAACTGGAAAATGCCAGGAAGTAAGACTGAGAAGAGCGCCACATTGAAGGCAAATATTGACAGTGGTGCCTCGTCAGGACAAACGCCTGTTTCCCAAAAGAGGTAGTTATCAAGTCCAGGCAAGAGAAAATCAAGCACACTGAGTGGGCTTGGTTGTGAGGCATGAACAGAATGTGGAGCCGTGACTGGGAGCGGGCAGCTGAGCAGTACTGATCAGTTGTGGAGAAACAACAAAATCTACTGCAACCCAGGGTTGGAGGAGGGGGTGGGGAGTGACAAGAGAGAAAGGAAGTCTTCCTTCTCTCCCCCAGCCAGCCCTCAAAACACACACTTCTGGGGCTGGCCCAGTGGCGCACTGGTTAAGTTTGCACATTCTGCTTTGGTGGCCCTGGTTTCCCCGGTTCGGATCCCGGGTGCAGACATGGCACCGCTCGGCAAACCATGCTGTGGCAGGCGTCCCACATAGAAAGTAGAGGAAGATGGGCACAGATGTTAGCTCAGGGCCAGTCTTCCTCAGCAAAAAGAGGAGGATTGACAGCAGATGTTAGCTCAGGGCTAATCTTCCTCAAAAAAAAAAAAAAAACCCAAAAACCAAAAAAACACACACTTCTGATAAATGACTTATGGGAAAATCAAATGGGTGAGCACAGAGGAGAAAGAAAAACTTGCTTCTGCCTACAAGCAGGAATCAGGTGCGTCCTAACTGCAATCACGGAGCACCTTGCTGGGCTGCGAAAACCAATAATAATACCTTTTTTTAATACACCAAAGAGAGAAAGCCACCTAGTTGATCAGTGAGGCTATTTAATGACCTTTGGAAATAAAGTGCAACCAGGGGTAAAAAGAAGACAAATCATACATTTTTAGCTTATGTCTTTCCAAGAAAGACGTTAAGCAGCTACCAACTCCCATGTGACCCATTGAGATGTTTTGGAGGGATAAGATCCAAAAGGAGCCAAAATTCAGGACATTCTGAACATGGTCTTCAGATTAGATCAAGATGACACCCTTGACAATATCAAGATGATACCTTTGGGGATAGTGAAAGAATTCAATTATAGGTCGCCAGAAGTCCTTGCTAGGACTTGTTTAATTCTGCTACTCTGTTAGGAGTACACACACAGGTAGAGCTCTGGTTTGGAACTGGGGCTGAGCTTTTTCAGGTAGCGGAACACATCCGACCCCAGAGCAGACATCTCCCTGTTCTTGGACAGAAGCTGGGGGTCCTGGACCACGGTCAGCAGTCAGGGCCAGAAGACCAGCTCCACCTCTGGGTAATCTTGGACAAACGCCTTGCACACACTGTGCCTCTGTCTCCTCATCTGTAAACTGAAGATAATGATACTGTGGTTGGGGAGGATTAAATGAGTGAAGACGTGCAAAGCAAATCAAACAGTGCTTGGCACAGAGGAAGTGCTTGGTATGTGTGTGGTGGAAATGGTTGTTATTGTTGTTCCTTAAGGGGAGGCAAAATGGAACTAGAGAAGGCAGGACATGATCATAGAAATGTCCAGGAGGACAGGACCAACCAAACCAGGGTGGGTGAGGGTCCAGCTCTCAGTCCTATAAATAAATCATCTCTGCAACATACCTGCTAAGTGATCATCCAGCCTGTGCTGTGAGAGCCAGCCAAACTCTGTGTGAACCTTTAGTCAGGGAAGGTGAGAGTTTAGAGGAGGTGTGATTGCAGTCCAGAAAGGTCAGGAAGGAACAGATGGAGAGAGCACCACCGTGGACTAAACATGACATGAGAACTCGGGGATGATGGACTTCGGGGATGTTCTCTGAAGCTGGTTCTGCTAAATTTGGACAAATAGAAAAAGAAATAAAGTAGTAGAGCATTCAGAGGGCACTGGCTGAAAAGAGATTTCAGAAAATTGTAGACTCATTTATGAAAGCCAGAGCTAAACTGGATTATTTGGAATCTTGGGGATTCTGGCGTGTGGATCTAAAATCAAGAAGAGAGTTGGCCTTTGTGCCTTAATGCTTCCATCATAGACAAAACAAGACAAACGCAAAGGATGGTTTTACTCAAGTCAACTCAGTGTCATGTGATGCAGTACAGCCCTTCAAATCCAGCAAATATTTGTAGGATCTACTGTGTAAAAGGCAGACGTGCTCATTTCTTCACTAGATGTAGCAATGGCCACCATGTAACACTCTCAAGGAGTTGACGTCTAGTGGGCAGCGGTGAGACAAATGCCAACACAAGAGCCATGCCAGTTCTGAAGAGAGGCCAGCAAAGGACTATGGGAACTGAAAAAAGGGCAAGGGGTCAGGAACACAGTATAGGGGCAGCGTGGGGCAGGTAAGGGAAATCCACGTGATGAGAGCCACAGATGCAGAAGAGGGAAGCACATCTGAGGAACCAAAAGCAGTCTGGTTTCACTGGAGCGGTGGAAAATAAGACTGGAAAGATGGATGGAAATAACAAGTGTTTGGGGCACCAGGGGGTGGGAGAATTGAGGAACAAGAAGGAGCCCTGTACAAAGTGCCCAAGGGTGAAGGTTGATTTGGGGCCTGAAGAGGGAGGAGAAGCGAGGGTGCTGTCCCCTGAGGAGAAGGGAGGAGGTCTAAATATTTGCAGGATCTGTGATAGTTCATTGTGTATTTCAGGGTTCTGGGCTGGGGCTGGGACAACTTTTGAGGCCAAAGCCGCGGATCTGAGGTTGAAGGGGGTTCCCTGACATTGGGTGATTCCCCTACTCTGCCTGACAGATTGAAGCCTGGGAGCAGGAGCAGCTGAGCCAGCCTGTCTGTTTTGACTGCTGCTGTATTGACCAGTCTCCCTTCCAGCTGGTGGAGCAGACGTCCCTGCACAAAGCAAGTCCTTGCTGACCGCTCAGGGCAGCTGGGAGGGCAGGGGCGGTGTGGGGCCAGACCTGCGCTGACCTGCAGCTCTTTCCGTGCAGACTCACACGCTGTTCTCGCTCCTTGGCCTCCACCTTGCTTATGTGACCAGTATGGGGAAGCTCAGGGGTGTGCTGGCCCTGGAGGAGGTAATAGGATGTGTCCCATTTGAGCTGCAGGAGGGAGGGGTTGGCTCAGGACAAGGGGATGGGGACAGGGAGGGGATGGTTTTAATATCTGGGAGGTCCCCCAGATTTCCCTCTCTATTTCTCATGCAGAGAACGGAGAGGGGGCGGGTGCAGCAAGTGGGAGGTAGAGAGGACTGCAAAGTCTATTATGGCCACAGTCCTGGAGGGGACATAGCTCTCCACCCCAGATGTGGCCCGTGGTCTGCCATGGATGGCATGGGTTTGGGTGGGGGTTCTGAGCATGAGTCAGGGTATCATAGGGTATACTCTGGGGAGGGCCATGGGAAGAGGGAAGAAATGGGATGTGTGTGAGGAGGCCTTAAAGGTCAATAGGAAGGGGCCGAAGGAGGACCCGGAAGGGGCATTGAGATTCACTGCCCTGTAGCTAGGTCTCACACTGCCCCATCTTCTTTCTCTTCTCAATTCCATACCCACTTTCCCTTTTCCTCTACTCTCCAGCTGCAGAAGGCCATTGAGGGGCACACCAAGTCTGGGGTGCAACTCCGCCCTCCTCTTGCCAGCTTCAGGAATACAACTTCAATTCGAAAGAATCCTGGGGGCCCGCCCCCTCCCACAGAGGCGTGGAGCCTGCCTGAGGATGGAACTAGGGCCACTGAGGCAGATGATGTGCCTCCTGCCTCCCCAGAGACCCCTGTGCCACCCCCCTCCCAAGAGCACCCCCTCTCCCTGGCTCCAGCCAAGGTGGAGAGTGACCTGGAGGAGCTGGAGCTGGTGGAGAGTCCGGGGCCAGAAGAGGAGCTGGCTGACATCTTGCAGGGCCCAAGTCTTCGGTCCACAGATGAGGAAGATGAGGATGAAGTGATCCTTTGACCACCCCCGGACCTCTTCATGCAGACTGTCAAGAGGCCTGGGCCAGAGGACAGATTTGTGTGGGAGAGGGTATGTCCTGATGTTGGAGAGATCACAACAATATCCTGGTGCCTCCTGGGCATTTTAAAATGTGATAGTGACAGTCTTAGAAGAGGAGTCAGAATTTGGGCAGAGAGTAGCCTCGGTCAATTATTTAGGCCATGTCCTCCCATCCCCAGGACACGCAGGTGGTTCTAACCCCAGTGAAGGGCCCCTGATACTCTGTGGGGCTTCCTGAGTATTCCTGGAGTGTGGGTAGGGAATACCCTGCCTATCTCTGCCTCCCCTCACTCCCCCATGATGCCCCAGAGTTCTCATCCCAGTGCCTTCCTGGCCTTGCCTACCTGTCTGTCAGTTTCCACAGGGGTTGGGTCAAGGGAGGCCCGGAATGACTGTGGCCCTGTGGAGGAGGGACCAGTTCATGGCCTCGTGGACTGATGGCCCCAGGATACACTCTCAAGCTGCCTACAGCTCATCCTCTCAAAGCGCCTCTCCTCTCCTGTGCTCCCACTTGCTCATATCCACTCCCTAAAATTTGCCTCCAGACTCCCTCCTGGCTCCCACTATCTGTCCCCAGGCAAGGGCCATTACTAGGGCACTGAAAGGCCAGTTCCACTTGCCCCTCCTTTGTCCCCGATTTAAGCAGCAAAATGTGGATAAAGAGACTGTGAGGGGGAGCAGGCTGGAAGAGAGAAGGTCTCTTTGTGGAAGGCTCCATATGGAAAGGGCAAGGGCCTTGTTGCCAAACACTCATGTTGCCCCAATGATTTTAACTCGCTCCAGCAGAAGTCTGTCCTATCTCACATCACATCATCCTCCAGTTTCCAGGTCACTCCCTAGAGAATACCTCCCCCTCCCCACTGTAGCCATTGATCTGTTCTGCCCACGGTCAGCTCTGCCCTCAAGCTGCTCTGGCTGGGGCTTCTCCTGCCAAGAACTAAGGCTCAGGGCAGCCAGGCCACTGGGTCACTCAGACACACCAGCCCTTCTTAGATGAGTTCTCTATGTTTCTCCTCTGGGGGGGGACAGCTGGGGGTTCACTGTCAAGATGACAGGCATCTCTCATGCTTCCCACACTTGGGAATTCAGATCCTTATCCTCCCCGAATCAGCAACAGGGAGCCTGCCATTAGCCTGCCTTTCCTATAAAGTGGTCCCAGGTGCTCTGAACATCCCCAAATCCTCGCTTCCACACCCAAGGCCTTTCTTCCTCCCTCCTTTCATGCCTTCTTCCGTTCTGCAGTTGTATCCCCTCTTGGACATTCTCCTCCTTCCCCTTCCTTGTGCCCAGTCTCCATCACCCCCAAATAAGACACTCATAGTCAAAGGTGCCACCACATTCTGTTTAGTGCCATTGAACACAGCCTGTAGCCCTCTCCAACATACATCCTTTCCCCCTCCCCAGGCCAAGAGAGAGAGGCTGCAGCCCGGGGAGGGAGCCTGTGCCCATGTGTATATAATCTATAATATTTATATATAGATATTTATATATAATTCTTTCTGTAATATATGTCATAGAATCTCTCTTGGGCCTGGAGTGGGAATGTCACATTAAGATAACATGCTAAGACTGGCCATAAGAATGGATATTCCCCAGACCTGGAGGACGGAGGATGGGATGTACAGGTGGGAGCAAGGAGAAGGCAATAAACCCTTTCACCAAGATCCCCTCCTTAACACAAAGACAGGAAGGTGTGTGTGGGGGGGGGGGGGGTAGGTGGGGCACTGGAGGGGAGGAATGGAAGATTTGGATTTTCCTTTAATAAAGTGAATTGAGAATGAAAGTGCACCCCCCCCACCCAAAGAAAATCATTTAGCAAGAGCATTTTCATTCACAATAATATAAAAACAGCCCTGTTCCGGGACTGCTGTAAAACGTGCTGCACAGCCTTTAACCCCAAAGGAAAAGCAACCCTCCCCCACCCCCCACCAGCCTCTTCCTGCACATGCCCCTCCCCTCCCCCTAAAATAGGCTGTAAGCAAACCCCATGCACCCTGCCCCCAGCACCAGAGAGGCAGTTCCTCCCTCTACAAGAGTCTTAAGAGGGTCCCAGGCCAGCTCCTTGGGTCTTCTCCCTCCAGAGCGGAAGGGGAGCTCCTTGAAAACTGCAGACCCCCCACCTGACCTCTGGTCTGTAGTGATGTGCCGGCACCCAGGGATGCCTAGCCCCCACTCATGTATGAACCCTGCTAGATTCCTTCATGGTTTTAGCCACCTTTCAGCAGGGACTGGTTGCCTTCCTCGGGGAAGGGAGGGAGGAGACAATGCTACTTTAATCTACTTTTCCTAACTCCACAGGGCCCTGAGCAAAAGGAACTGTAATGAATGAACCCACTCACTGGAGTGGATGTCTGCTGTGGTCTGGGGGCAGAATAAGGGACATGAAGGGGATGAAACCAAGAGGAAAAGATGATGCATTGAGAGAGTAGGTGGCACAAGGCGCGGAAACAGGGACCCTGTGGGAGGAGGGAACCGTGAGCATGCAGAACCCCAAGGACCTGTAGCAGGAGTCTAGGGCCAGAGCCAGCAGCCAGCCAGGGCATGGTAGGCCACTTCCCAGAGCTCCTAGACATGGGGTCCTAGTGCCTCCTGAGTCACATGATTAAACACAGGTGGTGTTCTCTCCAGAGAGCTTCAGATTAGGTAAGTGACTCTGCACCCACTGTGCCCACCATGTCTACTCCTGTTTCCTCCAAGAACCAAGCCCAGGCTAGCCATTCTCCCCCTCCCCTGGAAGATATGGGACCCCAGCCTCGGCTGCATTTCAGGAGCACATGTATATGAAAGTGTGGACTCAAGGAGAGGGCAGGAACAGATGGACAGAAACACCCCAACTCTCAACTTCCTCATTCCAAAGAAATAGAAGTCTGGGCCTGGGGGTGGGGAGTAGTTTGTGGCCAGGGTCTGGGAGAGGGTGACAGCACTCCCTTCCCAGCATTGTGTAAAGTAGTAGGACCCCTGACAGAGTTTGGGTAGGACACAAGGCCTCGGAGCTGGAGCCTTAGACGGGCATGAGGGAAGAGGGCAGGTAGGACGATGACCCTCTCAGCTTCCTTCTCCAACCCAGGTTCTCCCTATGCCAAGGGCTAGGGATGGAGGACCACTGCAGCCGTGCGGGGCAGCGTGCTGGCCAGCTCCACACTGCTGCCTCTTCCCTCTGCACCAGTCCCCTGCCGTCAGGATCTATAGAAGTGTTGGGGCTTCACGTACTGTGCAGAAGCCCCCACCGCAATGGAAACTGGGTCTGAGAGGGCAAGCAGTTTCAGGGGCCTACACCTCACTGCAAACCGATCCTGGAAGGAAGACTACTCTGATCCTCCTCTCTCCTTCTGCAAGAGGCCTGCAAAGGAAAAGGGAGGGAGGATGCCCGGGAGGCCCTCCTGGAGTCCTGGGAGGAGCTGACAAAGGGGCAAAAGGAGCCGAGTGCCCACAATGCTCCTCAGCAAACAACCCACCCAGGCTGGTGCCTCACAGCACCAAACTCCTCCCTCCAGCCCACTCAACCCTGAGTCCCCAAGAAGTTATAAAAATGTAGAAAAGGCAAAGAGAAAAGTGTAAACAGCTCCAGAGAATTAGGGGGGTAGATGGAGGGAGACACAGCCCTCATGCTTCCCCACCTGGCCAGGACACCTGCATTCTGTGTCGCCCCCTCAGGGTCAGGGCTCCCAGAGCAGAGGATGGAAGAAGGCAGAAAAGGGACACAAGAGCTGGAGCAGCCAGCCCCGCTGGGTCCTTCCCAGATCCTTGGGATCCTCCTTTCAGTCATGGGATAGTCAAGGTCCCAGAACAAGTGGCCATGTTTGTTTTGGTCTCATCAGTGACTCTGCGGTCTCTGGGCAGGCCTTGATAGAAAGAATCATGTTTGTGCCCCAGTGCATCCCAGCGGCCATGCCTACCTCCTCTGTGACTCCTGGTCTCAGAAGCCACGTCACCCACTGAGGCAGGCACTCCACCCACTAAGGAGGCATGGCCTTTACATTGCTTCCCCTGTGCCGTTGAGCCACATTCAACAGCCCCTGAGGTCTGTTCCTCTTAGTAGGGATGAGCTGGGGCCACAACCAGAGAAAACAGAGTCAGAAAAAGCAAGAGTGACATGAAGAAAGGAGGCCTTCAGACAGCCACAGTCAGGCTCCTGGAAGACGAAATCAGGGAGTGAAAAACTGAGATCCAGCTGATGGCCACGGGCCGCTCTGTCCTCCTGTCCTCTGATGCTCACTGGAGCTTCATCATCACAGACCCAGAAGCCCACAGGCAAGCAAAGTTCACAGCCATCTAGTCGCTCAGTCGCTGGACCTGTAGTTTCTATAGCGTAAACCTGGATAAAATCCCATCCTGGCCCTCTTGTTTCCTGGCGAGGACTGGCAGCTCCCGGGTTCCTCGAGGTCTCCTGCCCAGGTTTCAGCCGTACCGCTGGGGGAAGGGAGGGTAGTGTTGCAGCCATGCCCCTCAAGTGGGCATGGAAGGCAGGGCATGGAGTGGGAGGAAGCTAGTTGTTGGCCTCGCCTTCCTCCTCATCAAAGGACTGCACACCTGAGGATGTGACATCAGACACCTTCCGGCTCAGAGCAGTGGACATCTCGGGGTCTTCTCGTGGGGAAAGTGACTCCAGGTCCCGGCATCCTGCATCCTCTTCCTCCTCGGGGGCCAATGGCCTCTTCTCCTCCTCCGCAGGGCCCCTTGCCAGGTCCACCCCGCCCACCCCTGGAGCCCAGTCAGTGTCTCCCCCCAGCAAAGGTGGAGGCTCCTGAGCAGAGTATCCTGAAGCAAGTTGGGAAGGCCCCATTTCATGCAAGCTAGGCTGTGAGTCATCAAATGCAGGGCCAAGATAGGATCCTGTAGCTGGAGAGGCAATGAGGGACTGGTCGCTTGCTTCCCAGGCATCCGATGACCCCAGACAGTACATGCCCTGGGACACATAGGAGTGAGGCCATCCATCCATGGGGGCTTGAGCGAGGGCATCTGGAAAGAGAATCATGGAAGTCAGTCGGGTCACAGAATATCAAGGGCAGCGACAATTGCCCTTAATATTCTGTACAGAGAACTGAGGGTAAAGCATGGAGGAGGGAGGAGTGTAGGAAAGCTGAGGTGAACAGAGATGAATGGAGTTAGCCTAGATGGGGTTGGATTCTGGAACCATCCCTCACCCTGACTCTCCATCAACTCCTGGTAGTTGTCACTGTAGTTGCAGCCCAATGGCTCCTGAGTGGAATTGACACTCACGTCCTCACCGTCCATGGAAGACCAGGCCATGAGTGTGGCTTCAGAGATGGCAAACTGTTCCATGACGCCTGGGAGAAGAAATGTAGTTAGTACAAAATATCTTCCAGGAACCCTTAGACACATGCATGGGGTAGGGGTACATCAGTGCAGCGCTGTTCAATAGAAATATAATGCAAGCCCCTTAACGCAATTTTAAATTTTCTAGTAGCCATATTAAAATTAAAAAGAAACAGGTGAAATTAATTTTAATAATGTATCTTATTTAACTCAATATATAGAAAAAATTATCATTTCAATATATAATCCATATAAAATTATTAATGAGATATTTTACATTCTTTTATTCACGTGAAGTCTTTTAAACCCAGTTGATATTTTACACTTACAGCACATCTCCATTCGGACTGGCCACATTTCAAGTTCTCAATAGCCACATGTGGCCAGTGGCTACTGTATTGGACAGCACAGCCTTTGTATATGCCCCGAAACAAGGCAAAATCGTGGGGGACTTCCCAGAAGGTCAGATTTAGGCTTCCTAGGGGAAAGAGTTGGGGGTCTTCTGGTGAGATATCCTAAGGGATTGAAATTAGGGATTTCCAGAAGTTTATCTTTGGAAGTCTTTAGGAATGGCAGTTAGTATTAGGTAGTTGAGGACAGAGGAATCTAGATGGAAGGGCTCAAGATCAACAGAGAATTCCCAAGGGAGCACCATGGGATTGTAGGTCCACAGTGGTATCAAGTTGAAAGTTCAAGGGATTGGAAGAAGAGAGGGAGGATAGAATAGTGGGAATGGGTAGAGTTGGGAGTCCTCGTTCTACTCCAAGCCATGAGTAAGTTGAAGCTTACATTGCTAGCTGCCCTCTACTACCCTCCCACTCGCTGTATATTTGTCTCCTCTTCCCACTGATATTTCTTCTATCACCAACACAAAGATACCTCCCATCTCTCCCAGATCTATCATTCTTCCTAGGTATCTTATAGAGACCTGCCACCAGGGCTTGGCCGCCATTGTAAGTTCACTATATGCCTATCTTGTACCTATACTTCTTTCCTGGAATGGACCCTCTTCTCTACACCACCCTGTCCTCACCCCGGCCCCTTCATATTCTAGAAGCTGTCACAAGTAATGAGTCCAGTAAGTGAATCCATAACTGCAATGTGCTGGTGGGCAAAGGCTCAAAAAGACTCCCAAAGCCTTCCTTTCTTTTTCCTCAAGAAACATAAGTAGAAGCAGAGCCTTTCAGAGTCCAAGGTCCCTGCCTTTCTTTCTTGTACTGAGGGGGTCCAGGGTTAGATAGTCCCACCATGTAGGAGAGAGGGCATCTGGGACATGTGGACCCACAATCCCATGTGATTCCCCTCAATTTCTCAGATGATAATAAAAATGTTAGAGGGCATTTATGAGAATTAATAAGTCAAAGTACTTGAAATTAGAACTGATTGGGAAATTAAGTCTTATGGTCATCATATGGTTAGAGTCAATCCTGTCATAGGGGATCAGGATGGAGGGTCAGTCTCTGGGCATCCGAAAATGTGTCTCCTAAGGGTCCAGGGAACAAGTACCTGCCAGGAAACGTGCCTCCTTCTCGCCATCGCTGAGGTCGGAGTAGGCATCTGTATCCCTGCGCACCGCCTCGTGGCTGTGTTGGGGCTGAATGGCTGGTGCCTTCCCCCAGCCTTGCCACTCAATCATGTGGGCCACCCGGCCTTGCCCCATGGCTGTGGGCTTTGTCACATGGTCCTTCATGCTTCTCGAAATCCCTGAGGGGCCAGACATTCCCCACATCCTCCAGAATATCACACAATATCCATTCCAAATCCTTCCCATTATCCACACCCAAGTCCCATGGGACTCCATCCCATCGGGGGGTGGGCACCCCCTAGGACTCTGTATACAAGGGGCAGACTGGAAAAAGTTTCACAGAAAGAGCAAATAGGTCAGGGGAAGGGTGATGAAGGTCATCTTCAGGCCTGAAGGAGTAGGGAGAAGGAGATCAGGAGCCTATAAGCATTCCCCTGTCTGGATGCATCCCCAGGTCGGGAGTCTCACCTGAGAAAGATGACTTGGCCAGGGCCCCAATGCCATAGGCGTTAGAGTTTCGCTTAAGCTTCGGAAGAATGGAAGTGGTGTCCTCCATGGAGAGCTGGGAGAGGGAATGTGGGAAGAGGAGCAGAGGAAGAAGAGGGTATGGGGCGCTTTATATGTGGTGGGCTCATGGTTTCCACAACGAAGGATCAGAGCTAGGGCAGGTGATAAGGAAACCATTATACCCAGGAGTCCCAAGGAGGCATATCCCCCAAACACCCGTGAAAGTTTAGGGGGCAGGCAGAGAATGTGTGGGCTCACAGTGCCTGTTGGAGTCAGGGAGCACTGTGTTCTGTAGATGGCCTATGGGAGAATACAAGGAAGAGAAGTTCGGGTGCTTTGGGGAGGTCTGGGGGCAACTGTACTCACGTTGATGCCGTCCCAGGAGAAATCAGTTCGGGTTTGCTGTGAGGAGAGAGGAAAAGGAGTGGGTATCTCAGGCACTTCCAGGAATGCAAGTAACCCCTCCTTCCTCAGAGGGACTTCTAGAAATGTGTGAAGTAGGGAAGGCTTTCCTGAGATTAACATAGGGAAATAGGATCTCAGCGTGGAACATTTGGCTTGTATTTTGAGGGAAGTGGAGACATGTTGTATAAAAGTGTCAGTCTGAAGGAGTGTTTGGAATGTTGTCTCAGAATTTAGGAAGATCATGAAAGGACCAGGCAGCTAGGAAGCTTTGTTTATGACAGTTCCTGGGGTCTTTGAGAGGTCCTTTGGTGAGGGGGCAGCTGAGCAGGAGGCCTCACCTCTGTGGATGGCCGGTGGAGGCTGCTTCCATGCAGTGAGCTGGTGCTGTCCATGTTGATTTGGTCGACATCCTTCAGGCCCTTCCAATCCACTGCAATCACCTCATTCCCTGAAGTGGCCACAGGGTTAGTCGCTCCACCTTCACCTCCAAATGTCCCACCCAAAAGGCCCCTCATTGGTCTCAGAACACTGAGACCACACACTGGGGCATCCCCTCCAGACCCTCCCTTCCCTCCAGCTACCACTCTGTCCTCTGATTGCCTGTTTCCTTTTACATCCCTACTCTCCCCAAATATTTGGTAGGAGAAATCATAATGCTGAGCCAAAATATTCAGTTTGAGCTCAAATAAGAATAGCACACTCAGAAAACGTGTTATATGGCCTTATTTGTTGTTGTTTGAATGGAGGGGTGGTCAGTGGTTGGTTTTAGAGGAAAACAGTTCTTCATTCTGTCCTGAGGAATCTCGGAGGGTTTCTACATGGAAGGACGTGGGAGCTGTGCTTTTCACTTACTATGTTACTACAAATCAGGGCAGAGCTTCTCCAGGTGAGCTGCTCTGTGTGCGGGCTTTCTTATGTGTGAGGTGGAAGGAATGCATCTTCCCTGGTGGACCCTCCACGCGAGTTGGTCAATTTGTCTAACAGGAAGGATGTTTGGTGGGAATAGAGGCAGGAGTTGGGTGTGGGAGTTGGGTGTGTCCTCCCAGAAGCGGTGAAAGCAGAGTGAGATAGACTGCTGGGAGACAAGTGATGTATTAAAGGGGAGCAGAGTGGGACAGAGGGAGGAGAGCAGGGGACTATTTAAAATGGGAACTAAGAGAATTGGAATTCAAGTCAAAGAGAAGACAAAAGACAATGGGAGGGGGTGGACAAAGTTTGAGGGCTGACTGGGAAACCGGAGGGCCAAGGAGGATGATAACTGTGAAGGCGAGGCCAGAGCTGGTTGTGAAGGGAGATTGCTGGGATGAGGCAGGGGGTATCTACTGGGAGGCTTGGGGAAGAACCCGCTGGGTAGTTACAGAGGGATTCAAGCATCAGATGGCTGCTGAACCATCTGACCTTATAGATCCTTTCTACACGTGAAGTTTTATGATTCTGAATCTAGGGTTAGAGGCCCATTCTTGAGAAGGGGAGAACTGAGTGGAGTCTGGGGCATGAGGAGGCATTCAGCGTGCAACAGCCTGGCTTGTGCAAAAGGAAGGGATTGTGGTTAACAGGTCTGAGGGAGGCAGGACCCCTCCAAAGTGGGCCTGCTCTCCTTTGGGGCTACAAGGGATTGGCGACATGGATCAGACCAGAGGCTGTGGCTGGGCGGGTAGTGGAAAGATGAACATCTGGGCATAGAGAGCAGCGGCAATGGGGCAGCCAGAGAACAATCTCTGAAGAGAGGAGAGATGGGGAGGGCAGAGTGGGTGAGAGGGGAGGGGGGACGTGGCCTTTGTAGAGGAGGGACAGCTGAGTCAGAGCCGTGGGGGGCAGGGAGGGGGAGAGAGACAACCCCGAGAAGAGGTGAAAGCAGAAGAGGAGGGGGGTATCCATGGAAATAAATCGGGTCTCAGAGAAATCAGGCTTCCGGAGAGTGAGTTTGTTTGTAATAATAATACGAATTATTCTCTCAGCCTGAGGTCACTGGGGCGTGTAGGCGGGAGAAATTGGGAGTTGGAATGGGAAAAATTGGGGGGTTTGGGAGAGGGCTGGATTAATTTGTTGAGCTGTGAGAGTGGAGTGACTGCTTGGGGTGGGGGTAAGGGGGTGGTAGCAAGGCAAGGCTGAAGGGAGAAGACGAATTAGGAGGCGCCTCTGCGCCCTTCCCCAGTCAAAGGTAAATAAAGAGCCGGCCCCGCCCCGCCAGCCCCCGCTGACAGGTGCAGTCAGGTCCTGGGGTTCCTTTCCCGGGCCGCTCCACCCTCCTGAGAGCGGGTTCCCGACCCTTCTCGTCCCTCTAAACCCTTCCCTCCTCCCCGCTCCACCGCTTTTCCCCTCCACCCCAGCTCAGCCCGGCCCCATTCCCTCCGGGCGTGGAACCCGTTCCCCTCCCCAGGCACTAGGCTCAGCCCGCCCCCGCCCCGAAGGGAAAATGCACGTGAACAAAGCAAATCGGGGGAGGCAAGAATGACAGAAAAAGGCAACAGAGAGGGAAAGAGATGGGGGCAAAGCACCCAAGCCAGATGGAGCCTGGCGGGGGGGTGGGGGCTGCAGATTGGGGTACATGCGAAAGATAGTTGGGACTGAGATTGAGGCTGGGGGTTCTTAGAAGGGGGGCTGCTCCAGAAATGACGGGGGCGAGGAGGCGCTGGGGAAGGCAGAGTGAGGAGGATGGCCTGGAGGCGGAGGGTGAGGGGACTGGAGAGTAGAGGAGAGCGACGGAGGAGAAAAGAGGAGGTTGATGGAGAGATGATGGAGAGAGGGACCGCGCCTGCGGGAGGGCGATGGAAGGAAGCTGGAGGGAGATGGAGAGAACGAATCGAGCCAGAGGGATGCAAGCCCTGGAGGAGCGAGGGGAGAGCGGGGAGAAGAGAGGAATGTAAGGACCGCGAGGGCAAGGAGGGAAAGTGAGGGAGCGAAGCGGGTCAGGGCGGGCGCCGAGAGAGGTCCCCAGAGGGACGCGGAGAGAGATGGGGGAGGGGGTCGGAGGACCCGACCGGGACGAGCCTGCCCTCGCCCGCCCCCGCCCGCCGCGGTACCCACCCACGGTCCGGGAGCCGATGCAGCCCATGGCTCCGGGGCCTCCGGAGCCGGGCCCTCAGCGCCGTGGGGCGGGCGCTGGGGGGAGCACCAGGAGCCGCGCCGCCGCCCCAACCGCTCTGCAGCGCCGCGGCTGTCTCCGCTCGGCTCCGCTCCCCCCTCCTCTCTCCATCCCTCCCCACGGCAGCCTCCGTCGCCGCCGCCGCCGCCGCCTGGCTCCCCCGCCCCGGCTCGGCTCGCGGCCGGGGAGGGGGCGGCCCGGGGATTGGCTGCGCCCGGCACCTCCCCGCCCCTGCCCCCGATCCGGCCGCCCCGCTCCCGGAGCACCGCGCGGCGCTCCCCCGGGGGCCGGGCTGGCGGCGGGGCCTCGCGGCTCGCCTCCTCCTGCCCATCCCCAGCCCCACGCGGGGGCTCCTGGCCGCGTCCCCGCTGGGCTCGCGCCCGGGGGCTGTGGAGACCTGGAGAATGCCCGCCTTGGGTCTCAGGAGCCTGGTAAAGAACCTAGGGCCCACCGTTCGGTTCTGGGTGATTGATTTTGAGGGTCAGGGTTGGGGACGCCCAAAGAGAAAGTGGGGTAGGGGTGAGAATAACGCCAGGATGAAGGGCTTTGGCTGCCAAATCCCGCAAACACTTGTTTTCTTCCCGGGGCTGCATCTGGGACACAGCGGGAGCGTGATTGGGTGCAGCTTCGGCTGCTCTGCGCTTCCTGCGCGCTGTCTTGTCCACCAAACAGATCGCGAAGTCTTTGCAAGTGGATCGTATATTAGACTTCCCTGTGCTCGGCGCTCCCTGGAAATTCGGGGGTGGGTGTGGGGATGGTGCAGATAATCTAACTCCAAGCCTGATTGGGGATAGCGGAGCAGAATGAAGGGAATTTAATCCCACCTAGAGTGAAATAAAAATGTCAGGAACTGGGGGCTGTCTAGAAGACACAGTTTTAAATCCAATTTGACTTTTCTGAGCCTTGGTCTTCTCTGACAAATGAAAGCATGGATGTCACAAAGCAGTCAAGAGAGGGGAGGATTGCCCTCTGGCTAATGGGACCGTGTCTGGTAGGTACCAAGGGCCTCCTGGGTAAAAGAGTGAGAGAGAGAGATCAAAGTTGCAAGGGTCAAGTGGGCATTATAGTTACAGCAGGCAAGAAGTAGAATCCAGAAAAGTCCCATGAGAAAACTCAAGGAGACTTTTGTTCACGCAGCACCCAGGAAACCCAGAGTGTCAGCAAGCAGACCCCTTAAAGCCACTGAACAGATTAGCAAATGCTAATCCAGGGTCTGTTTGCTCCCCACCTGCTTTTATGTTCCTCTTGAGGTTGGACAGGGAGCAGGGCAGTGGTCCAGGGGGCCCTGATGTGGGCATGTAACAGGGAGACAGACCAAATCTTATGGATGCAATTTTTTAACCTTTAGCTTACGAATGGGGAGCCACACTTTATGGTGATAAATGCTACATTCTATGGAATCCCAGAGGCGAGAAATGGGAGAAGATGCTAATAATCTAATTGCAGATCTGGGAGATTGGATTATGGAGAGAGAACTGATTTTTGGTTTCTGTGCATGAAGAAATAAACCAAATCTACGTCTATAAAACCATGAGAGAGAAGAGAGAACAGTCAGTTGTAGGTCTGCTTAGAATTTAATTGCCCCATAAATTGGTGGCAGGATCTGATACCTTCTTTTGACAGTGCAGAGAATTACAAAGTATTTTTTTCCCATATCTACAATTGTTAGTTATACAAAAGAAGTATCAAATGGTTTCTGCCCTCCTGGAGTATATTGTCTGGCTGCAAAGGAAAGAAAATGGAAAGATGGTAAAAAAGAAAAAGAGAAGAAGAAACAACCTCCATTACTATAGCAGTGCCACCTAAACTCCTAGCGTTTGAGAAGAGAAATCATTGACAGGAATCTCCAGGTCAGGAGAAAATGGGCCAAGTGGCCAGCTCTGCCCACATCTTCCCACCTGCAACAGCTCTTCCCTCCGGGTGCTCTCTGATTCCACAGCTCCCACTGTTACTCTGGTCCAAATGTGGCTATAAACCTCTCCCTCGGTCCCCTTGACACAGCTGTATAAGGCTGGATTTATCCAAATGATTTAAGTCAAGACAAGGGGTTCCAGGTCTTGAAGACTCAGTCCCATCCCACATTCTCTTTTCAAGGTATTTCCTGCACTTGAGAAAAGTAGAATATCATAGCACAATGCTGGCCTGCTTCCTTCCTGGCTCTTATACAGGATCCTCTTACTTCTTACTAGTTAGAGGCATTCTCTCAGTCTCTTTGCCATCTTCTGAGACAAGGTCAAAGACTCCAGTTCTGGTATGAACGGGAGCAACCTTTCTGGAGGACAATCTGACAGCACTGATCAAAAGATCTTTAAAATATGCATTGCTGTTGTTGTTGTTACTAAATTGTGACACAGCTATTCCATTTATAGAAATATTCTAAGGAAATAAAAATAGAATGTGGACAAAGATTTGGTCTACAGCATTCATCAGAGCACTATTTACATAATCATGAAAGATTGTACACAATGCACATGTTCAAACCTGGGGATTAATTAAATAAATTATGGTATATGCTTATAATACAATACTATGCAGCCATCAGTAATATTTTATAACTGTATTTGTTGACAGGAAATTATTCATGATATATTGTGACATTATAAAAAAGCAGGCTATAATATAAGAATTACAGATTATCATTTTTTTGTTTAAAAATCACACATACACATTCTTCTCCTGCCTTTTGTCATGCTTACCACCCCAAGTAATTTATGGGATTCCTTGAGGAAAGCCTATGTTTTAGAAATGTCCAACCCCACTCATTGGTTACACTTTGGCCCTCAGTGAAATCATAATATTAACCAGTCCATTTCCAAAGTCTAAAAATATAGGACTTTGGCAGAATGCCCCAGGATGGTGCTCACACTTCCTAACTGGCCCCCTTTGGGACACAACCCCAAGGTGAAATTATGCTTCCATCCTCTCTGTGGTTGCTGCTTCATGCTCCTACTCTCCTGTGGATAACTCATGGACGGAAGGAACAAGCCAAGTTCAGAGACAGTACTGTCTAAAACAGGGACTCTTGTCCCAAGATCCATGGAAGGAATCCAAAGTCCATAACCTTGGATGGGAAAGCTTACATCTTTAACTTCACTAACTTGTAACTGAAATTCCCCACGTACTTCAGTTACGCACGTAGGCAGCAAACCACAGTAGTATTAGAGGAGTTGTGCTGTGTCTTTATCACCCATAAAAATCGTAGATGTTTCTATTATACAACAGATGATGTAGATTTCTTACAGCATCCGTTATGTTCATCACCACTTTGAAATAATAGTAGTAGTGAACTTGACTCTACATTTTCTTATTTAATGCTTTTATAAAGAAGCAGATATATTACTATATCACAATTTCATAATAATGGTGCTTTTATATAATTAGTTCCCTTTGCAATCCTATGTATTTTATTTTATGCATTTAGTGTAATTCTGACAGGGAAACCATGGATTTTCCAGATTGACAAGGGTCCAGGGCACAAAAACGTTTAAGAACCCCTAGACTCTAAATACATATTTGGTGGTCAGTGAGAGTTCTCTAATTATTCAGGAGCTTAATAATCCTGTTAATAGTAGCAACTTGAATGACCAAGCAAGACAGTTAACATTCCATTTGGAAGCCTGAGTCCCCAAGAACAAAGATATTTCCCTTTTATCTGCAGAACTGAAAAAGCCGCACCAAAGCTTCACGCCTGCCCCCAACAAATGGAGATGCAGCCCTAAAGCACAAGGGCTTACTAAAGTATTTCTTTTGTTTTAATGGGAGACATTAGATCACAGTTAAGGGCCTATGAAAAGATCCAACTGAGAGGGAGAGATTCAAAGTATAGGAGAGAGGAAGATCAATGGACACTGAGTGTAAATTCCTATGGCAGCCCCAAGGGATGGGAGCAAAGCTCAGGGAGAGGGATTAATGGAGCTGAAATGGAGGCCCCAGCTCCTCTATTCTAGCAGAAGGAAAGATGGGGCAGATGCCAGCATATTGCATGTTTGGTGTCGGGAAGACGAGGGATTCCTGTCTGATGGCATCTATTTTCTCTGAGGAGTAGGAGGTGAGATCATCTACTAAGAGCCTGGGAGTGGGGGAGATAGAGAATAAAATAATAATAAATAATACACAAATATCACTTTAAAATTGACAGAGTTTGCAGTCTCTTCTTACAACAACCCACTAAGGAGGTTGTTATCTTTGCATTGCAGCTGAGAAAACCAGGAGTAGAGGCCAATTCACTTTCATTTCCCCCGATTACTCAGCTGGAAAGAGAAGGAGCTGGAGCTTAAACTCAGCCCGTCAGGTGGAAATTCATCCTGGATGCTGTAGGAAATGTTTTATGTATGTGTTTGTTCATTTGCTTTTTAAATAATTAGAGTTACTTGGTTCAGGAAATTTTATTTGAAAATTTTGAAGTGGAAAAGCAACGATCTTTCCTCAGGGTGACTAGCAGCCCTGCTATAGGTCTTTGGTGCTGTCACAAAGCACTGATGACAGGAGCATCTCAGTTCCTACTGTCAAAGTCTATGTATTGTATCAGAGTCTCTGTGTCTCATGGAGACAAGGAGGTGACTCAGGCCTCCCCCAAGTTTCATCAGCTTTGGGGCAGCTCTTAGTAGCTCACAGGAGACCCCAGAAGTGGGTGTGCTGATACTGGAGAACTTGGTAAAGGGCTGGAGCAGATTGTTTGGCAATGGCATACCTGGAATGGCATGGCCGGCTGGGTGGAAATCAGAAGAGTCTAAGAATGAGTGGTGATGGAGGTCTGTACTCCTTTAAACAGGAATAATTTCCTTAATACTCAGTGAAAAGGAAGACAAGGAACGGGGTTTGGGGGTTAGGTTGCTGACACATAGGGGACACTCAGAGCTAAGTCATGGATGGGTGGGGATGTTGATAGTGTGTAAATTTTATTTCCACAAAGTAGGAAGTGGCCATGGAATCTGTGCTGGTGGTCTGTGGAGTTCTCTTCCCCACCCCACCCTGCCTCCAGGTGGATTCCAGAGTAATCAATAGTGAGGATCCTGGCCTTTGTGCTCTGCAGGGTGTTTCCGGGCAGGGCAAGTTTCTTGAGGAAGGAAAGACATCTCCAGGAAGCTGGTTATACATGATGACACTTCCCATAGCAGAAGTTCTCTGGTTTCAGTGTTGGTGGTGGGGACAAAA